ATCCACCACTTACCAGGAAAGTTAGCTTCATAGAAGTTTATTATTGGTTTTGGACAGTTATGGCCCCTAACTGTGACTTCTTTGCTTGACCTGTACTGCTCAACCTCTTGCTGCAAAAGAAAGATCTCATTACTGGAAACAGTTTTGGCACAGAAGCTACTTCAGTTACTCCATCCATGCACGCTGGGTCCCATGACCCTAAGCATGTTTGTGCTTGTTCACTTTTGCATGAGTTAGATGAGTACATACCGCAGTACGTCTAACTACATCAGGATGTTCTTGATAGAAGTTCTTTTCAAATTTGGGCAGTTCATCCAAATTCCATTTCTTTTTGGTAAGCTTTTCCCCAGGGTTTCCAAATTTTTTCCCAGAAAGTGGACCGGCTCTACTTCCTCCAAAACGAGGGGCTCCAAACCTAAAGAAGAATATTACAATTCAGGATCCAAGAGAAAATTTGTTCTCTTCCTATTACGTAATTGCTATCTTTGTGGTATGCCCTGCAACTTCACAATTCACAGTTATCAACCCCACCTACGAGATACTAAACTTTCAAAGCATACTGAAGTCACAGATGCAACAATCCACCTATCTTCACGTTCAGAAGGTGAAGTAACACATTACCTTGCAGTTTCCATGAAATGGAATGGCCTATCGACACGTTACAACATGGGCAATGTAACAACACAAACAACTGCATTACTCCACGATCAAAATGGTTTCCTACCCAATTGACACTCCCATTTTGTCAGCCTACAGAAAGCTGGCAGGAGCTGTTACAAAACCTCGGGACAACTTCCCTGTAAATGTTTTTACCACGTATCCCAAAAGACAAACTTCTCTCAGTAACGGTGCTTCACGAGGACACGCGTTTTCTGTTAATGTTTTATTAACCTTTACGCCCCTCTGTTCTGAAAAGCGCAGGGTGCAGCCTCTCCTATCCTATCCCAGCAGCCCTAAAGCGCAGCTCGACGCAGCTCAGCGCCCGATCCGAGTGCCGTTAAGCCGGAGCCGAACGCTGGGCTTCTCCCCGCCCCCCCCCCGCCTGCTGCCCGGCACCGGGTGAGCGATCCTTCACCACCATACAGCGCTCCCAGAGGGGACCGAGCCGAGCGGCCGCTGCTTCCTGCCAGCGCTGTTTCCTTTGTCTCTCATTTCTGTCTACGCCACATTTTCCAGCCGCTGCCATTTTAGAGTCTGAGCTGGGCGGGGGGGGAGGGAGGGGGAAGGAGGAGGAACAAAGGCAGCAGCAGCCGGCATTTTGATTTCCCCTCAGTCACCGCATGGCGGGGCCGGCCATTAACATCCGCTGACACAACACAAAGCGGGCGCCGGCCGGCTCCTGCCAGCAACAGCTCGAGCCGCCGCGCGCCGCGAGGGGAGGCGAGAAGGAAGAGGGAACCGCCCTACCGAGAGCTGCTCGACGCTCCGCCATCGCCAAGCGCCCGGCCAACCCACTGACCCACAAACCTCGTCCCGCCCGCCGCCCCCCCGAGGCGGGGATGTCGAGGAGCTCCCCGCCGACCGCCCACAGCCTCGCACTCCCTCGGAGCTTCTCCGCAAACCCCCGGTGCCCGCTCCCCTCTCCCCCTGGGGCCGCGCCGAAGCGCAGAGCCGAGACGCGACCCGCGGCCACCCACGCACCGCGACCGCCCCCACGCGGCTCAGATCCCCCCGCCGCCCTTCGCGAAGCTCCGCAGACTCCGAGAGCGGAGACGGGCTCCCAGGCCCAGCCCACGGCCCGGCCGCCATTTTGAACAGCTTTCAAGGCAGCACGCGGAGCGCCGCAGTCGATCTGAGAGTCCGGACGCTGGCGGCGACTGGCGCCAGCCGGGCCCCCGGACTCACCCTCTATCCCTGTCGCTGGAATACCCGGGCATGGCGATGGTGGCGGTGGGCGAGACGGTCCCGATCGCTAAAGAAGGTGACAAAGGGTACGACGCGATCCAGCGCCGTCGATGGGGGCCACTGAATGTAGAGCGCCTCACCGCCCCGGCGCCGGTTATATAGCGCGCCGCGAGGGCTGCTGGGAGCCGGCCGGTGACGCAGGCGCAGAGCCCTCCCCTCCTGTTATGCAAGCGGCCCGCGAAGCTCGGAATCCCCGCCCTCTCCCGCGTGGGCGGGCCCAGCTCGGCCGACTGACCGGCTTCTGAGCTGAGGCCGGAAGTCCCCCACCCCCCTCGGGGCGTGGCCTTCGCCGCCGTCACCGCCCGTCCTCTCCTCCCCCCGCCCCCGCACGGCTGTGCGCGAGCGGCTGCGCCTGCGCGGAGCGATTGGCTGGCGGCGGGTCGCGGCCTGGTGGCACTGAGCTTTGCGCGGCTCGGGCTCGGCCTGGCGGAAGCGGCCCTGCGCGGCTCTGGCTCTCGGTTGGGGCTGCAGCGGCAGTTCTGTGAGCTGAATGGACCGCGGCTTTTTGCGGTGACGTCACGTTTGGGGAAGGTCTCAAGGACTCCAAGCGATAAACAGCCGGGCCGCTTTATCCAGTAATCGTTAGTTGAAGCCGTGGCCTCGCTTTGCAGGCCATTAAAGGGGTTAGAGGTGCAAATCCTTGTGGCGTTAACAGGTCGGCCACAAATAATCGGGAGAGCAGACGGATTAAATGCGGCTGGAGCACTTTTAGACCACGCAGTTACCCGCTGCCCGCTTTTCCAAGCGGCACATACCTGTGATTGGATACAGTTACTATTTTTACTTTCCCCAGGGGCTGGAAAAGCAATTCAAAGGTCACAAGAAGTGCAGCAGTGCACGCAGGGACAGGGCTGGCAGAACAAATAGCAAAACATCGACCAGCTGACGTGGCTGCTGTGCTGCTTATCTTCCCTCTCGAAGCCTGAGGAGAAACTGAGATGGCTCACACCTGTGGCTCTGGGCACAGCAAGGAAAAGGTGAAGCCTGGTACACAAACACCAGCAGCCTTATTGCCAGACCACCAGTGCAAACAAACACACCATAAGGAAGGAGAAATGCCTTCACACTCCCTGTTTATATCCTCCCACCTTCTCACAGTCCTCGCAATTTGAGGCTTTTCTGAAACAAAAATAACGTAACTGCATTTGACAGTTGGGAAGCTACACATGTTGTTTCCCATTTTTGTTATATTCCTCTCCTGGCTTCCAACATACCACTGCAATGCATTTCAGTTTAATTGTACACTACTTGAAAAGCATTTCCTTCTCAATACATTGCCTGATAAGAACTGGGGGCACAAAACAAAGTGAGTTATTAAAAACATTTCCTATTTATTTATACCCTTTGTCCATATTACTGTCATCTAAATCACCTCACTTATCAGCTGAAGCTGCAGTCTATCTCATTTTTTCTCCTTTAAAAGCATCTATAATAATCCCTGCCACCACATTGACAGAACATACAATATTTGAGATCTGGGCCCCAAAATTGATGTGATTTACAAACTGAAAGCATAAAGATGGTTTTGATTTGGCATGTATTATTTCCTAATGATTTTTCAGATAGTGGATCCTCCTAGATGTTTTTTTCAATAGGAGCCACTGACACAAAGAAGCAAGCTATGGAGTTATCCCCCCAAATACCCCTTTTGACTTTATGCCTACTGATCCTCCTGATGAATCTGAAAATAGGCCGTGTAAAAGCTTTGAAAGTTAGCAGCAAATTATCAGACCTTTTCTTATTCCATGCAGTTTAACACAGTTCTCTCAGATCTTTTTTGTTTATTACTTTGTCTCTTCTGTCACTGTGGGGACTGTCACTCTCCTTTGTCACTGTGTTGTTTAACCTTGTTAAGGTTTTGAAGAACTGAAAGGACCAAAGAAACAGAAGACCTCGGGGGCCTCTGATCAGGTCTGCCTGTGTGCACTTAGCCTGCACCACTCTCCTGTTGATTTCCTCTATGAAAGAAAACTTCCTCATTTCTGTGTTCCACCCCTTTAAATTAAACATCATTGTTGATTTTCCTGTTCTCTTACTTTAAACCAACATATGCAAAGCAAATAAAAAGAGCTTGGCAAAGCTGAGTGTATCGAATTGAAAACTATGCTTTAGTAATGATTTCAGAAGTGCTGGTGAGCATTTGCTCACACATGTGAAAGTTCTTTTAAACGATATGTGCATTTGATTATATATTTCTAAAAATTAAGTCCTCAGACAGCTGTCATTGTCACTGATGTTTACTTGCTGGCAGCCATTATTTTTAGTCATAATTAGGATCTCAGCTGCCTCTGTCACGCTGCAGGAGCTGAAGGATGAGAGGCACCATTAGTTCTGCTTCTGCATGACTTACAGCGAGGAAATCCCAGAGTTCCTGGGCAGCACAGGATGCTGTGCTTTGAGAGGAGGGTTACATACCCACTCCAGCCAACGTCTTAAAGAAACCTAACAGCACACAAGGCTTCACAAAGCCATTCTAAATCTCACTTCTAATACATCTTCCAACCTTATTGCCCTTGGAAATTATCTCGTCGTTTTGCAGCTCCCCAACAAGCCATGTCACCCGTCTGCTTACAGCCAACCCCCCCCAACAACACCTCGATGTACGCCCAGCTCTCCCTGCTGGTGAACGGCACAGGCTGGATCTGCGAGGCCAAGAACTGCCCTGCCCTCCTGCCGCCAGCGCCAGCCCTCTCCCCTCCTAATTTTCTCCGTGAAAACACAAAACAACCGCCTGCCCTTCGGGGCAATGAGGGCAGAACCGCAGCAGCAGCGCCCGCACTGCTCGGAGCGGGGCCGGCCTGAGGCCGCCATTTCGCGGCCTGAGCTCTGCCCAGTAGGCGAGGAAAGCCAGGAGGGGAGGCCTGGGCCGCGCCGTGCCGGTGAGCTGGGCCCGTCACGGCACAAAAGCGCGAGGCTCGCGTCAGGAAACCAGGCCCGGCCTTGAGGCACAAACTCTCCCCACCCCCATCTCCGTTTCCATGACGACCGGCCCCGCGCCAACACGCGCCATAGCACCGAGGGCGCGAGCAGGACTCAGCGGGAGGGGGGGCGGGAAAGGGCCTCTAAGCCCCGCCTCTTCCGGCGCAGCCCGCCGCTCCGCGCGGCCGTTGGAGCAGGGGGCGGCTGTTGGCGGGCGGCTGCGCCATGGGCAGCGCTGAGGGCACAGGTAGGCGCGGGCTGCGGCTCCGAGGGTTCCTCCCGTCTCCGCTGCCCTGTGGGGCCTCGCGGTGGAGCTGACGCCTTCCGTTTTATGCAGACGTGATGTTGCTTAAAGGTTCCCGCTCTCCTCTTTGTGTTGTGGATCCTTAAGCTTTTTATGCGCCCTCCCTTTTCTCCAGCCACGCTTTTAGGTCTGGAGGTGGCTGGTTTCGAGGCCGAGCTGCAGGAGATGCTGCTCGAACCTGCCTCGCAGCTATAGCTGTTAAAGCGGTACTGCAGAGCGATCTGTGGAACTGAATGAAGAGTAGGAATGGAAAAGCATTTCTCCCCGTGTACAGAAAAGCAAAAGCAGTACCCAAGAGGCCTTGTGCAGGAACCACACAGTCCTCTTTCTTCCCTTTTCTCCCTTCAAACGGTGTCATCACTTTTCCAGCACCCTGCAGTCTATGGTAACGCTCACTGCTCCTTCTGTGAAGGACGGTCAGCTCTCAGCAGTGCTTTGGCTGATGCTGCCCGTGTTCCTCACTGCTCATATTTCTCTCTGAAGGAAATCCCACTGGGTGCAGAAAGCATTGCTGCCCTGATCACACCAAGTACTGAGCCCATCGTGTGGCATTGGCCTCGTATCAAAGGCACCTGAAGTGGTTCCATCTTTCACTGTAACTATCCATTCTGTATTTCTGTGTCTTCCAGTTCTGTTGTTAACATACTCTACTTCTTTATAGATTGGGTCAACGTTGCCAATGATCTTTTAAGGAGCTGTCACATAAACCAGCACATAAAGCATCTCTCAGAGTGCGGAGCTGATGTATTTGTTTGTCTTTATGAGTCGATCTTAGGAGAAAAGGTACCAGGTGGGAATGTTAATTCCTAAGGATGCTTTTGTGTGCTTCTGCATATTTTACAATGGACAAGTTCAAGTTTGCAAATTTTGCAACTAGGTATTGTTTGTGCTGGGAGTGAAGAATGAAAACTGTTTAAACAGTCAGTGTTCTTGTATTCAGTACTTCAGCTGATAGGATCCCCACATCTTCTAGGGGATATACTATGTTTATGCTTCTTTTTCATTAAAGGTTTCATACAACCATATAATTACTGAACTTTTCACCAAGTCATTTTCTACTTAAAAATTAGTATTTTTAAACTAAAACTAGTTTAAGTAAAAATAACAGCAGTAAGCTGTCAATTCAGATAGCATAAAATGTATGTATTTGTTTTAAATAGATTTCATAGCTACTCCTAGAAGCCAAGAGGATGATGCACATAATGTACAAGCTGTAATAGATTCTCTGGCATTGGACTACCTGCAGGTCAGCTTGTCACACATCACTGGTAAGTACTCATAATGTGGTTTAATTTGAACACTTCATAAGAACCATATGCCACAAATATTATGTAGATATATATATATAATGTTTATATATATGTGTAATGGAATTAGATACAGTATCTGTAAGCTTTCAGTTATTAGAACTGAAAATATTTTAAGATATATTAAGTGTTTGGGTGCAGCTGTGCTCTGAGCTGACACCTTCACAAGGATTTCCAGTCATATTCAGAAAACTCCTATTCTTTGAAGACTTTCAAACTACTTATTAACAAATAATAAATTAGTGATTATTGATATGACCGTACCTTCTCTTGAGGTGAGAACATTGTGAAAGGAGAAAAGGAGTCTATCAGAAATCTCCTTGAAATATTTGATGGTTTGTTGGAGTATCTTACAGAAGAAGTCAGTGAATTCTCTTCTCAAAATGGAGGTGAGAAGACAGATTTCCATGTTTGAGGTATTGTGTTCTGGTGATACATTATTACGGATTCTCCAATCCATGCCATTCCATAATTTAAATATAACCTTTATAATATTTTAAAAAGCACTTATAATGTTATATATATATTAAGACCCTTAAACTATTTTAATAATAATGAAGATAAAATCTTTTAGTTAATATATAAAATAATTTTTCCTGAAAATTGATGCCTCTTCATTATTAACAGATGAGACTGTACTGCCCAATAGCAAAATGCAAACTGTATCTCCAGAGCAGCTGGAAAGCAGTGCTGGTCAACTTACACCATCTTTGGAACTTTCATCAGTTGACAGGTAAGAATAGCTTTGAATACATGCATTGACACAGTAAGTTACTGTTATTTTTGCACATCTGTAGAGCAGCTAGCAATTCTCAGTAACACGCAGAAAAGAAACATACATCCCTCAAATGGAACACAAGCTAACTTTCTCCTCTAGCTGGGCAGAAAAACATTTCTAGATCTTTTTTGCTCTGAAGAATTCTGATGGAGTTGTTTCCCTTAAGCTTATTTTCGCCATGAAACAAAATGCATTAAGAACTTTGTCCCACTTTTAAATGATTGCATTTTAGTTGAATAGCATTAGATCCATCTTCCTGACTTCTACATTGGTTTGCTTTGTGGAAGCTGGCCTCCTGTGCCCCACACTGCAGTCGCCAGTGACTGAAGTAGAGCTGGGACTCTTCTGCATCTCCACCTTGTGGACGGAAGAGGCAAAGACGTTTAGAATAAACATTTTATCACTTCATGTTCCCCTTAGGTCCCAGTCGGAATGCTTTGTGCCATTGTGTGATGCAGACGGTTCGGAATCTACCAGTGAATTAATTCGACTTGGAGATACTGCTCATTTGTCCTCAGAGAGAGGAGAAGGTGAGCTTGGATAAATACATATCTTTAAGACTAATCTGTAGTAGCATTTCTGCAGATAGCAAAATTGGTATCTGTTTTGCTGATGCCAAAACAGTTCAGCAGTTTAAATGTGTCAACGAACAAAAGTAAATAAGTCACGAAATTCAAACTCTGCTTCTTTTGGAACTCCTCTCAAATTTAGGTGTCTGTGCTGTTAAATCACACCTGCACATATAGAGCAATGCAGATTTATTCAAACAACTGATATGTAGGCTCAAGGTAGCCTACCTTTAAAATTTAACAGTTCTGTGCAATCAAACGAATATGGTAATTAACATTAGATACTTAATCTTCCCTCTAATGCGCATGGATGATACACAGAAATAACATGCCACTTCTATAGATAACACTTTTAATTTCAAGTTCTTTATATTGGTTTCTTAAGGATCCTTGGAGTCCATTCACAGCACTGAACTGCCAAAAGAGCATTTCAGTTCCAGTGCTCAAAGGCTCGGGGAGCCACCAAGCCAGGCTGTTCCTTTGCTACCACCATTTCAGCCTGCTGAAGCCAGGTCCTGTGATCCTGTACACAGAGATCACCAGAGCTTGGACAGTCAGTCAGCAGCTTTGGTTAACAGTCAAGAACTGGAATCTCCTACTGTAAGTAAAAACCCATCCTTTGTTTTTTATTAATCAGTACTCCCATGGTTCATTTTAAAACCATCTAATTGAGAGAGGTGTTTATAGTGCACACATGGATGCACGTAATCAACATTCCTGCACAGTTTGCAGTACAGTTGACAATATAATCATGGTTGTGTTCTTGTACAGCTGGCAATAAAGTCAGCACTGATTGCCATGCAAGGCAAACTTGATGTATTACCTTCCTGTCTCATTTTTCTTGTGTTTTCTTCTAGCTTGAAATGTCACTTACACAAAAACCTGATGATGTTTCAGGTGCTCTTCTGTCAAGAAAGATCCCTGGTGAGAGAATTTTGCTTCCTACAGAACAACTCCATGTGTCAAATATTGCCTTAATTTTATATGTAGTACAGAAAACATGGTTTTAAAACTACCAGTGCATCTATTTAGAATTTTCTTGGTATTTTTTTTTGTTTTTTGTATATAAATAGGTTACTTCCAAGCTGTTCACTGCTTGACAAAATAGCCTATCCCCAGTTCTACTCCTTTCTTACTTAATCCATTTAAGATGCCCCTGTACTACAGAAATCACTTCTCTAGATGAGCTTATTGTGAGCAGGGGGACGTGGCCCCAACACACCATTTTCAGGCTGAGGAAAAGGTTCTTAATTGCTGTTGTAGAAATGGTTTAGAAAGTAGTTTTCATGCTTATTTTCTCTGTTGCCTGGGAGACACTGATTACCTTTCTAGTTTCCATAGCACTCCTTTGACACTGAAAATGTAAAACCTGAAAAATCACTGAAATGGATGTCATAACTGTGTAAACACAGTTGCCTTGTCATTATGTTCTCTTTGGCTGATTAAGTTCAAAAGGCCACAGATATTTTTTGGTAGCTATTCCCACACTAATAGGCACACTGCAGTCTACGTGAGTGACTAACAGTAACCTGCCGTCTGCTTCTGCAGCAGGAGACAAGACCGTCCGGAATGATGCTGAGGACAATATGAAGGTACATGTTGCAACTTCACCACCTTCGTGGAAGCTCAGTCGGTGCTGTTGGATTTCCAATTACTTTTCTTGTTATTTTGTAGCACCTCTGGGCTTTTGGGCTTCTCACTTCAATGCAGGAGTACACTTAGTAACACAGTGTTGTTAGACAGTGGCTGCATGCAGTTTGCAAGTCACCTCAGTTCTTTCAGGAAGTGTTTCCTCCAGGAAGGGTGAACACCAGTACATGTCAAGCTCTAATTAATCACAAGGGCTTACTGGTTCTCGTTGTCTTATTCAGAGAGAACATTGAATATTCACTTCCTTGTGTATCAGTATTCTAAATTAGTAAGAATTTGGTTTTATGAGGTTATTTTAAAATTTTGCTCCCTTCCTAAAGATCACTGAATTGCCTCATTGCATATTTTCTTGCATTGCATTCTTGCATTGCCCTTTGCTTTTCAAAACCTACCAACCATTCAGCAGCTGCCATTCTGTGACTGTACTGGAAAATACTTTTTTTTTTTTTTGCCTTCTGCAGCCACAAGAGGTTCTCACAGACGTGTCTGCTTCAAGCACTGCCTTTCTTTGAAACTCATTTTCAGTCGGTACATTTGCAAGTGTCTGCATGATGACCCTGAATTACTCTGGTTTGAATAGATAAACTACCAGCCTACACTAAAGCACTGGCATAAGGACAGGAGTGATTTATTTTAGCACGTTTGCTTTGAATTGCTGCTTAGTCCATACTCAGTACTAAGTTCAGCTTGCTCAGTGCATTGCTTGGCACTGATCCCCCAGGCTAGTGAGGCAGTATATAGGGACACTGATGTGTAGACTTTGTTATTCTGATTTGGTGGCTTAGCTGTAAATGATTCTTAAACTGATCTATATTTTTGCTAGCTTATTTCCTTAAACATCTACTGTATGTGTGTGATCACATGGTTCGAAATGTTTCTGCTGTAAATACTATTGTAGGATCTCTCCTACTATAGTCTGTGGTACTTCTGAGCATTACTGTGCAAATCTTAATTTTTGCTCTTAATCATTTTTCAAGGTTCCTTGGGTATATGGGACTTCTGCATCTGCTTCACACTTAGATCAAAAATTCTCCTTACACACTGAGCAAATAACACAGCATCCAAGCCCTGAATCAAGACATCTGCCTAGAAAGAAGAGGCAAGTTCAGTTTTCTTGGAGCTGAGCCATTTTCCTGTACAATTCCTCCTGTCTCCAGCTTTTCCTTTTTTTTTTAATGAGGCATCTTCCTCAGCTGTATGACTGCATGACTTCAGCAGAAGCCTTTCCTACTTCCATCATGTGCACATTTTCTTAAGTACAGTTGTAGGCCCTTACACAGTGAGCTGTACTTCATCCTATAGAAATGTGCTTATGCAAAAAGTGAGCTGGAATTGTATGAGGTAATATTTATCTCTACGTTTTTAGAATAGAAATGAAATCTGGTTGTTTTTGTTTTTGTTTTTTTTCAGATATGAAAACTCTACCATAGATTCACTTGAAGTTCCTCTTTCCCACAGAACAACAAAGGAAAACCTGCCTAAGCAAGAGCTGTATCAAGTATCACAAAAACTTTCTCACAGGTTAAATGAACTGGATTCAGTAAGTAAAATCTCTGTTGCATCCAGACAAGGTAGCCTTAGAAATAACAGCGGGAAACAATGATACAGATTTTATATTAATGAAAAAGCAATCTGCAATTAACATTGGGGATGGCACTTCTAAATTTGAGTGAACAATTGAACAAATGAACAAATGAACAATTGATCCTGACCCCCTTCCCAAAAATCTGTCCAACAGATGTTGAAGAGAGCTTTGGGTGGGCGTCCCAGAGAAGAGGTGACAGATGAAGACAACCTGTCCCAGCACAGTGACAGCGTGATGGATTACGGCCGAAGGAGAGCTGAGCGAGGTGATCACAGAGCCACCCAGCAGTGATTCTTAGCACACACAGGTTTTAGAATGAGGAAAAAAATCCTTCTGTAAAGCTGATGCACTGACCTACACACAGCTTTACTAAGTTCTGTGCTCTGTGTCAGTGGCAATCTGATTTTATAGCGACCCAATATGAAGACTTGGATATAAATCTATCATGTAGCTTGATCTAATCTACATGCACAACATTATATTGAAAGATGGAGCTGTTTATGAATCTTGAAAACAGTCTCTGTTGTTAACTTTAAATGGTTTTGCTGCTTTATCCTTTCCCATCTTAAATATCTCTTAGCACTTCTGCTGCCATAAAAGTCCCCACACGTAGGATTCAGAGCAGGGATAAACCTAAAAGCAAAGGCTTTAGCTTTTTGCCATTTAATTTGTGCTAAATATTTCAATTTTGCTGTGGATGGTTTTTAACTTGGCTGGAGCTTTTTTTTTTTTTTGCTTGAAGCTGGGTAGTTACTAAAACCCCCCTCCTCACAGACATACCACACCTGAAGTACCCCAGCAGGACACGATCCCTTTCTCCACCATCACCCTCATCTCAGCATCAGCTTTTTTCGGAGGCAGAAGACATGCTTTGCAGTAATGGAAGAGGCCAAATGAAAAGCATTCGCAACAAGTTGCAAAAAGAAAGGGATGAAAGAACACAAGAAGCAAAGGTAACTTCAGGGTTAGACCTGTTAGTTGTTCTTAGTACAGTTATGCCAAGAGTATTGGAATTGAATGTCCTTGTTTACTGGAGGCATTTGGCCCACTTTTATGATTTTGCACTGTTGTAGTTGTAGACTCCAAATACTGCAGAAAAAAGAAGTTTTAAGTGGAAGGAACAATTTTAACCCATATTCTGAAGAAGCTAATGAGGTATCTATCCGTCTGGACCGGTTATTTTCTCTGCAAAGTTCCTTTTTTTGCTTTCTAGATGGTTGCTAAAGCTTATGAAAATGAATTAAGAATTTATGAAGCTCGGGAGAGGCTCAGACTTTCCAAACTCAGGGAAGAAATCAAGGAACTGGTATGTAAAGCATTATTTTGCTAGTTATCTTAAAATTTGTCTAAATACTTTGTCCAGGCACTGTGCACATTTTCTGGGTGCAAGAACACCTTGACTTCTAGTATTGGAGTTATAGAAGAGTTGTGTACTGAAATAGTGAACAGGGGTCAGCTTTTCCAGAGACAAAAATAACTGTCCCTTGGTTTTATCTAAAGTTGTCAGCCCTTGTAGGTAATATTCTCAGCAGCAGAATAACCATCATATGGTTTACATGAAGTGATTTCAAGAGACTGTGATTTAGATAACTATGCTAAGTCAGAAGGCAGCTTCTGTAGACTGGCCTGAACTCTCGTGATGCTAGTTATCTTTCTAAGAGCAAGTCTGACCAGCTGCAGGCCCTCTCAGCTATTTCCTACTTGCCTCCCCCATTCCCCAGGCTGAGAGCTGGATGCCCTGCACCGTGGAGGTAATTTGCTTTATGTTGTCATATTTATGTTTTTTTCTACCTACTCTAGAAGTCGTTTTTTTTGTGCAAGGATGATTTTCTACTATTATGAATCTGGCAGAAGGGTTCTTAGATACTTTCTAGTACTGCTGCTTTCTTACAGAGTACTGGACCATCAAGGAACTTAGGTTGAAAGCTGTGTCATTCTGCTGTGGGATGCACTGGCTGTTTTCACAGCTTTTGCAGAAGCAGTGATCAGGCTGCTGCAGAACTGTGAAGTGCTGCAAAAGAGCTGAGGTTATGCAATAGAGAGATGTAACCTTTATTTGAACCGTGGACTGCATTTGGTACATTTTCAACTTCTCAAGAATTCAATTCAGTATCTCCAATTTCTCATTCTACAATTTTTGATGCCATTTAAGTTCTGATACCCAAACTATGTGATCTATCAGTCTTGCCCTTCTCATACCTGTTCTCCATCTGTTTTACATCTGCTCCAAAGGAACAAGGATACAAGGAAAACATCTTTAAAGAATCTCCAAAAATCCCTCAGCCAGTGAGAGTTTATTCTAGAAAAACCACACCTTGGAATCCCAGATACAGCCAGTGGATTCCAAAACGAGGGACTGCAAAGCCAAAGAAAGCAGCTCCAAGTAAGAAACACAAAACTATACTTGGTGGAAAACTGGCATCCTTTGAAAGCATGTGTTGGAACTCCAAGCATAAAGGCATTGGCCCAATATATACCAGTCAGCTGTAGCATTTTCCCCTTCTTATGACCTCCATACGTCTGGATTTTTGTTACAGAAGATAATGCTCTAAGTAAATGTGAACCACCCGTGCACAGTTCAAAACTCGGACCCACTTGCTACCTCCTTAAACTCTCCTGGATAATTTTCAAAGCTTCTTTCCATTCCTGCTACTCCTGTGTTTGCTCCACTATACTCTGAGCTCAGTCTTTCTTCCCACTTTTTCTGAACATGTATTATTTCAAACTGGGCCTCTAGCTTTACTGGGTTGGTGCTAAAACATATGGAGGTGGACGAGCACAATGTTTGGTAGGAAAAGACCCTGCTGTTGTAGCAGAAATTATGCCATGGGTTTTGCTGAGTCAGAAATGTTCCAAGAACAGTGAACACAAATCACAGCTCAGTACTGCCAAACAGCATTATGTCTGTCTTTATGTAAGGTCGTGGTACAATCCCCTAACGTGCCTGAATGTTGGTCAGGGACACTATTGGGATTTCTTGGTTTGTTTTTGCTAAGTGTTTGAAATGCATTTACTTGGTTAATACTCACTTGTTTCATCTGCCTGTAGTTTAGTTTATTTCTTGCCACCATAATCAAAGACGTAATAAGAATGTTGCAAATGAGTTTGTTTTCCACTTCTTTGTTTTCCACTATTTATACAGACCTGTATCTGCCACTGCATTAGCAGTATTTTAAGTTGCTGGAGCCAATGAAACAAAGAAAGTTGTGACTTATTAGTGACAATCTGAACCATCTGAAGAAGGGGATGCCTCTCTAAATAGGATTAACCATGGTAAAGGGGGAGACGTGAGGCCTGAGCTATAAAAGCCGTTCTTCAGCAGAAAAGAAAAAAAGCCACTTACTTGGGATTGGTTTCTCAGCTGCTGCATTGGAAGAGATCCTGTGTACTGCTGAGTTGAGCCTGACATCATAACAACAGCATGGTAGTTGCATACACTGTTCAATCTGAAGTATTTCCTAACTTAGGCTGATGCTGTCTGGAAGAATTCAGCACTAAATGTAGTTTCCAGGGCTTTATTGCTTACATCTTTCTTTACTTGTAGTGAAAGTCAGGGATGATGACCTCCTGCTTCAGCTACTGGAAGAGTTCCCCCACCTGCACGTTTCCCAGCACGCTATGAACAAAATGTGGCGGCAGCAGCTCGCACAGACTGAACGGCTGAAAGCAGCTTCTGACAGGGCTAGACTCAAACTCCAAAATGAAGTGAGTTCACATTCTTACCTTTTAAGCATCAGCTGACAGAAGGGTAGCGCTCATCAGATGGTGTTTCATAGTAAAATCATCCTGGCCGTGCACCATGGATAAGAACACAAACATCCTGAACACGTCCTTTCACACCGTGTGTCTCAGCTGTGAGACAGAGCACGGCCACTGCTTGTTTACACCTGCATTTCTATTTAACAGAACTTATGTCATATTTGTAAGTTATCAGCAGTGCAGCATCGTTAGTAGTGTTTGCTACAGCAATTACCTTACGCACATCAACTCAATATTGCTGTTTATATTGAGTTAACCTTTATGTTAAGTATAAAGGTAATATTTCTGGGACAACTCCTGCATACAAATGCCTGTCCTGCAGAATGATAGAAATAACTTTTTTTCTTTTTTAAATTAAACCTCCAGGTTCAACAAGCCTTGAAGAAGCATGAGCTTCTTGTTGCAATTATTAAAAAAGATCGAGACCATAACAAGAGACTGGTATGTTCTTTGAATGGTATTTGTTACATAGAATACTCCCTGTTCATAAAAGGAGCTTCTTACTTTATGACAACTTTATGCCTTTTGAGTAACTGTGGCCTCAAATGCCATGTAACCTCTGCTGTGTGGCTATCTGGAATAAAATGCCACTACTACACTTAGCTGCTGCTTTAAAACACAAACAAGCTGAAAGCACATGAGGAAGAGAAACTTCAGCCTGCTGGTTTTAATGTTAACAATACCAGCAGCTGTGGCAACGCTGACTCCTTAATTATCTGGTACTGCTGATGGCAACACTGCGCAAAGTCGGCGGTGATTACACTGCATTTATAACTTAAAGCTTTAAAACTGGAATAAGGAGTTTCTTAGTCAAGGACCCCATTAGAAATGATCAACAAAACTTGGCTTAAGCAAATCCATTGAGAGATCGGTGGTCTCACAGCAACTTTTTTCCATTTAGCAAGAATTAAAGCAACGTATCTACTGCCAGAAATGGACTCAGAGTAAGGTGAGAGAGAAACGCCAGCAAGTTGTTAGAGCCAGGAAATACTATGAAGATTACCGTGTCCAGCTGCGGGCCAAGATGATGCGGGCTAGGACAAGGGAAGAAAGGGTAAGCCCAAGTTGTTTTGCTTTGCAAGTGTGGAATTCTTCTGTATTGTTTGGATGCGATTGCTGAGGACCTGCAGTATCGCAGTACAAATAATGGTAGAAGGAGACAGAGGCAACTTAAGTGAACAGAATGAAGGAGCCTGGATTAAGTGGCTGGGCAGTCAAAGCTGTGATGAAAAGTTTCCTTCTTTGGAAACACTGAAGTCAGTTGAAGGCAGGCCACTGTAAAACAGGAAGGATGCTTGATAGTGTTAAGGAAAGGAGAAAAAGGCTCACCCTCAGCATGAAAAAACAAGGCTAACATCAAGACAAATTGAAGAAGCAAGTTTTCAGAAACAGAGAATTAAGAGGTTCCTAGAGCTACCATCCAAAGAAAATAACCTAAATTTTCAGTTATGGAAACTGACAAAAAAAACCTGCTTTCACTCATCTTTGTGAAACAAAGTGGACTTTTTGACAGATGAACTCTATTTAGGGCTGCACATCACAGCTAAGTTAAGCCAGCAGTGCTAATTTATTTCACAAGAGTAGCTGCACAGTTCTCACCTTTTAAAGTCTAGGAAGTTTTGTGTATTAATTCACTGTTATTGACCTGAGCACAGTTTGTGTCTGAAGCTGTGCAGCAGTGTTCTTTTGTACGGATGGGCAGTGTGAGTGCAGGCTGCATTTCCTGTTATTGGAAATCTGGGTGAACATCCTGAATTAGACAGAGTGCTGTGGGCTGTAGCTCCACATGTTCAGAGTTTGGTGCATATAGGAAAAATCAGCTTTGATCAGTACATCCCTGCTGTTCTGGCCACTCTGATTCATCCTGATTGAACAAATCTGAAAGATGTACTTTTTATAAGAATTCCAATTAAATGAATATTACAAAGATAGCTCAGCTGTGCCTGTACCACTGGTACTCGATGTGTAACTGTACTTTTTCAAGGGCAGTGACCCTTTTTTTGTGATTGCCCTTTCATCAGGAGATAAAGCATCTCAAATATGTTAACATTTACTTACAAAGCAACATACCCAAATTAAATTGGTTGGTCGAAGCCTTATATTCAAAAAGGTTTGGTACTCCCAACAACAACACAGCTTTTTTAAGTTTCTAGGAAAATTGTGTTTGCTTTTTTAATTGTTGGCAGATATTTAAAAACTTATTTGAAGAAGGCTTAGAAATTCAGAAGCAAAGACTGAAGGAGCTGAGAGCATATGCTCAAGAGATGCGTGCTGAGCAAAGAAGAGAGCATCAGAATGAGCTGGAGTCCATGGAGAACTATTACAGAGATCAGGTAAGTTCAACCTGCAGCTGAGACAGCCAGATAATGTTTTCAATAGTAGAAGCCTTTCATTTCTTTAACTGAAACATGTATTGTGCTTAGTTTTCCATGCTAGCAGAAGCTTTATCTCAAGAACGCCAACAAATCCGAACCAGAGAGAAAGCACAAGCACAAGTAAGGGTTTTTGATCTTGTGTGGATGTTTTCTTTCTTTATGCAATATGCTAATACCTGTGTTCTGTTTAGATGCTGCAGAAAACAAAAAGAGAGCTGAGGTCAAGGATGGAAAAAGAAATACAGCAACTGCAAACAGCAATAATGCAAAATGATGATGAAACTTTTTTTCATGAACTAGAGGCAGACAGACTCAGATCTAGGCTTCAGATGGCTTCCTTTCAGTACAACAAAAGTGGTTTCTCTTAAGACATGGTAAATAGCACTGCAGCTGTCTGCTGAGCTGGAGGGGAGTCTCTGAGAAGTGCTGCGACAGGAAGGTGGTGTGCAGCTGCTGTTCTGTAAGATCAGATCTGTCATCTCCATGTGCCAGAGGCACAGCTGTTGGTACCTGGAACTTCCAGTACTTTTATGATTAATAAAGTTTTAAGCTACTTTCTACTGTGTAGCAAAGCTGAAATGATGTCAGAATTTTAACGTGTATTTATAAAACTTATTTTACTTTTTTCTTCTCATAAGGAAAGCAGTTCAATTTTTGCTGCAACTTGAGAGCAGACATCCATTCAGTAACACAGAGATGAGCCCCTTTCCAGGAAACCATTAACATAAAAGCCAAAATAAGACCTTTGTTGTTCAGTTAAGACAATTAGCACAACCCTTATTTTAGGCAGACGTCTGCAGAAAGACTCAGAGTGTAATAAGCACTTTCCCCTGAAACGAGGGCGGATTACTTAAAGCTATTTGTTACATTTTAAAGTAAACAATTAAGAAAAACTGAAAACTTTTTAAACCATTGATGCTGTGACAGTGCAAACAGCATACAATTTATTGCTCAACTTCTGCATGGGTACATACATTAAGTACTTAAAAACCATTTTATACAGATTTTTTTGTTAAAGCTCATGTAACAGCTGGGTGAAAATACAATGATACCAATGCTAAAACACTCTGTAATAAATACAATGGAAATGATAAACTAAGAACTGTCAGGTTGTGGAGGAGTAATTACACTTGTATAAACTAATTACAGCTACAGACGAAGCTCTGAGGATGTGGTAGAGCCAGAAACCTACTACATAGTGTAAAGTACAACAAATGGCACCTGGTAACTAGGTGGTGCAGTTTAAAATCTGAAGCACTTGGAGCATGCTACATTAAGCTGTATGATGCATTCTTATGATATAGAAGCAAAGCTTTTACTTCCATCAATGCAGCTAGTTTAAACGCACCAGAAGTTCTATACAGATGTAGTGTTGTAGGACAAGAATTTAAAAACAGCTTGTGTGCTCTGGACTTTAGTACAACACAACAATTTGGTAAAAATAAATCAGTTTAGGGAAACTGAAACTATGTGCAAAAAAATTAGAATACATACTGTACAAAGCACCATTACAAAACTCTTTACACCGAGAAATTAAATCCTCTGAAATTCAACTGTGTACTGTATATCTGAAATCTACAAAAGTTCTGTTCATAATTAAACATTCATATGAAAAGCAACAGCATAAAACCATGATGTGACATTTCTCTAAAACAACTAAAGACTGGATAAAGTAAAACCCAGTAAGAGGGACACATTGAAATAAATATTCACATTAATCATGGGGTGAAAGTCCAAGGTTAAAATGCAATATTAGGCTTAGCACCTTTTTGAGGGCAAAAGTAGCTGACGTGATCTTGAAATACAATTTTGCAAAGGCATCAACTAAAGTTTTCTGATAAACGCGAGCGATGAGGTGCTTTAGTTAAAGCTCTCAGTCATTATAAAGGTAGAAAGGCACTCAAAATACTTGGTATATTCAACCTCATCTGTCAGCTGTGGAAAGTCAAATGTAAATTCATCTAGGTTTGCTTATAATATATTAAATTTACAATATTTATCTGTGACAATTTAAAAACAATTCTCTATGCCATATCAAAATGGTTGGTAGAACAAACAGATGTACTGCTAAGGCTGCTGTGAAAATGAATGGTATTTATCAGCTGATCTGCACTCTACATTCTGCAGAGCTCATTTCCTCCCTCCTCAGAAATGCTTTTATGCTGTAAAGGTGGCCACAACCAGGTGTTCAGTACATGAACCAGCCTAAGGAGGTGGGCAGGGAGAGGTTCCTAGGAGGGTACAGACGCTGTGGTCAGGAGACACTACAGAAACAGCCTTTAAATAGTGCTGAGGTTGACTGCCTGGGGAAAAGAGAAGAGCGTACCTTTCCCCTGGAGTCACCAGCTGAGCCCCGACTTCTCCCAAAAGCTGGATCGAGCTGGATTTTACATCTGGCATGCTTCCACGATCAGGGTGTCTGCAGCCACAGCCTGAGCAAGAGCAGAATTAAATCCCTTACTCAACAACCATGTTTTGATTCTGTGTCAGGAGAGCTTCATGTCAGACCTCCAAACTTGATGGGCGAGAAGAGGACTTTGGGAGTTATGTCACACAGTGGTCCCCAACCTCAGGAAGCAGTAACAAGTAAGGAACGCAGTGGGCAACATCCTGCTTTGCTTTCCAGAAAAACTGGAGAAATGCAGTGGTGGCTTCTCTAGTAGGGGCTCCCTAACTTAACAAAGGTACCAGCCGTTTTAGGAGTGCAACAGTCCCTTGAAATGAAGAATGGCCTGATATATTTCAAACCTGGCTGTTACAGCAAGTTTCTTGGCTTTATGTTTACATCCCTAAGTAGCCTCACCCCTGCAGCCAGCCCAGAACAAGGAAGCAAGTCTTTCAGAACAAACCTTCCAGCAACAGCTGTACAAAAATATATATATAATCAAATGAACATGTGGATTTGGCTCACCAGGTTCTTACCACAATTCTAGAAAGCAGTCCATTGCCCACTGTTCTAATACACAACATCCAGTAGTAGTTTACTCACTGCGGCAGTCAGATTTGGCAGAACAAAATGAAGTTCAAGCTCCAAGGAACAAATAGAAAATGAGCCAGTTCACTGTGACTCACACTGCTGTTTACATCCCGGTGTTTAAGCATTTCCAATACCCTTCACTTTCTTCTTATTGACAGTGTAAAAATAGTGCAGACTTGATGATTGATTGTAACCTACGTTAAAAAACAACACTGATTGGAAAAAAAATGCTGCCTGTTCCAAAGCTCCTCACCGAGAGGAGAATGCCACTGCCTGTTAAGTAGAGCCATTCATCTACACACCATGAACAGATTATATGGATCTTCACTGAGATTTCCCAAACTTACTTCAAAATTCAGTTCCCTCCACTGGTAGTGCATTTTATTCCCCTTTGCAGAGATCAACCCATGTTATAATTCATATATATACTTACTTCCATCCCTACAATCAATAAATTATGTGCTTTTAAAACCTCATTTTTGAAGCACATCGCATATTTCAGTTAATACAACATTTTTAGTTTTACTGCCATTTTTCCTTAGTTGTAACTCAAACCCACGTGTCACGAGCAGCTAGACAAAGATTAAATTATGTTTTACCTGATAGATCTTTAGCATCCACAATATATTATGTGATTTGGCTGCATTCAAACAAGCTTTGGTCGGCTGGGTAGGATGGGTTCTGTAATGAACTGCAAACAGGTTGCTGCTGTCAAATGTTACCTCATCACCACGCACACGAAGTTGAAAAATGCAGTGTTTAAAGTCAAAAGTCACAAAAAATACTCTTGACTCGTTAGAAAAATGCTGCGTAAAAAAATCAAAACGTCTGCTCTTCATTAAAAAAGGTCTATTCCACATCTAACACAAATACTGTACCAAAGGCAGTATGTGTCACTCACACTAGAAATTTTGCTTAAGGAATCTGACGAGCAATATAAATAGGCCCCAAAACATCATTTTCGTGATTCATGCTTGAAAAATATAAAAAAAGTTCCCTGTGGTAACATTAGTTGAATGTACATTGCAGAATATAATGTTTTACTATAAGAAAATGCAGTAACATGTAAGTGGCTTTAATTAAAAAGATTAATGATCCTTTCAGCCAATTTTATGCAAAAAGTTAGAATAATCCAAAATATTTTTTCCAAAAATAGCAGGTATAGATGCTGGTCAGTATCATACATTTAAAAGAGGCTGAAACGTGACTTGTACCGACTGCTGAAGTTGTTTCTTGGTATCTGAGAATAGAAATCAGGTAGGCAAATATAATAGATTACCTTTTACAAAAATAGTAGTAGTCTTTAAGTATAGAATACTGCTTAACTGTTGAAATGTAGGAAAAGTCAGCATTCTGTATGTTCAAGGTATTAGTTTTTAATAGCAGCTGAATGATCCTATGGCAGGAACCACAGAACCTATTTTCTTGAAAGAAAAAAATTGCAAAGTTGTCCTTTCCCTCACAGTGTCCTAGTGTAGAAAAGGGAAAGTTTCCTGTATTTCAAGCATTTCTCGAGTCTTGATGAGGGAAGGGCATTCCGGCTGACAGGAGTATAAATAGAGTCTCAGGTAAGCCTGTGAAGGGTCATTCCACAGCAAACCCACATGTTTCTTCAATGGCAGTTAGCAGCTTCTCATATAGCTTGTCATAGCTTTCATAAGGAGGAATGTCTATTCGGTTAAAGCTGCAAAGACAAAGTGAAACCTTCAATTATTTGGATCTTACAGCCTCCCCCAGCAAATCTCTGCTGCAGTTCATTTAAGATACTTGAAACAATACTTGACGTGGCCAATGGCACTTCACATAAACAAAATCAATTTGTAGTTTTCACACCTTTACTCCTCTGTAATGGACAGCATCTGCGATGCCATAAAAGAAAGAAACAGTGTGAAAACAGGCAGCAAATCCACATATCACAAGAGACCTGAACAAGTCTTACCAGGTATGAGCTTTCGGCAAATTATTTGTGCTGGCATCGATCTGGTGTATTGTAAATAGTCGTGGGCCTGCAGCACCTGAAAATCCAGAAAAGATCTCTAGTACTAGTTGGAAATTGCTTTGCTGAACTGCAACAAGAAAAGACTGTAACAAAATGCAAAAAAAACAAGAAAAAAGAAGAAAGAGAGGGGAGAGGAGCTACACACAGAAGCTGAGGCTGTGAGCAGCTAGCAAAAAGCCAGAGGAAACCCACAGCTCCTAGCAGTCAGAGTCTGCCCCTCCACCCACAAGAAGTAACCATGCTGTTATCTCTCTTCCAGCAATTTAAACAAGAACAAAGCACTGACAAGGAAAAACGTAAGATACCTGTTTTAACTGCACACTACACAACTGAAGGTCACTTTGCCCACTCCTCCTAGGAAACTTCTGCAGCTCTACCTGTCCTCACATTGTAATGGGCAGTCAAACTGGATAGAGTTTTCATGGATACTTTTTAAAGAAATAATTTTATGACATGACCTGACTGTACAGAGTCACACAGTCTCTAGCAGTCATAATCTCTGCTAAAGGAAAGAGTGTAGCACAGCAGTCTTTAGACTCAGTCAGAATATGCTAAGATTCCACCAGGCCAGAAGAGGTCACAAACGCCCTCTGTACAGCTGGCATATTTGCCTGAGTAGACTGGCATTCAAGGACATAATCCACAGCACCAATCTTTCCTATGGGGACTCTCTGCTGTCAAAAAGGAGTATTAGTAAATGAGACTGCATTACTGTATTACCACAACTCAAATCTAGAACCTGGCAACATCCATCTTCAAATCTGTAGGAAAACAGGATTTGTTTGTTCACAGAAACTTTTTCTTTCTTTTTTTTTTGTTTTACTAGTATAGCCACACTAAAAGTAACCAGCACTACTTTCAAGTATTCTCAGGCCATGACCAGTTACAGTTTGTTCAGACTCTACAGTCCCTGGTATTATTTAAACACTTGAAGTAACCAGGGCCTTCAAAACCTCAGTATTCCTGAACTTCTAATGTTCCTGAATACTTTAGAGCTCAGGAACAGAGGAAATGGACAATGAGGTCTTCTACCTGATGGAGAGATGATGAATAAACAGATTTCTGTAGCAACTGGCTTTTGTACATGGCAGCTACTACCACAGAATGTGTGCTCTCTTGAGATCTTCTACCTATTACAACAGGTTGTGATCCATGTTTCCCTGGGCTGTTTCCTCTCATCTTGTGAAAGGACAAAACATGGTAACTATGGTGTTAACAGAGCAGCGTGGGTTACAGCCAGAGCTGCTGCAGCTGAGATCCAGAGCTCTGAATGAAGCTCATAAAACAGGTCAGTAATTAAGTAATTGTTTCCTTTGCCAGGGCTGCCTGCGATTACGTTGCTTTTACAGTAAAAACAGCCCAGATTACCGAGCTCCTCTGCTGTTAGAAGCACAGGAACATTTGCTCCTTGCTGGTATTTGCTGGTCACAGAGCTGTGCAGATGCTTGCAAGAGAGAGAAATGAAACAACAGTCTTCCAGGAAAATCATGCGAGAATCCTGGTAGGATTTCTACTGATCAGAATGTATTGCTAGAAAGGGAAGGAAGTGTGCAACTGAAACAAAAGAACCGGTTACAGCTGAATCAGAAGGTAATGAGCAAACTCACAGACTATTTCTGTGACTGCTATTCATCAGACCATTAAATATTCCTCTGAGGAAAGTCACGTAGCAGCCAACCAGCCTCATTTTGAGCTAATGCTTCTGTGCCGCGTCTCACTGCTTCCTCCAAGCACAGGCATTTGCAGCTACTTTGGGCAAAATTACCTTGCAATGCCTTGAAGCCCTGCAGAGGCACTCTGGATGAGCCAGTCACAAACTGGAGAAGTCGTGCTCTCCTCTCTTCATCAAAAAACTCCACAGCTTTCCAGAACCATTTCACAATGTTGCTGTCTGGTGTACAGTGTTTTAACCTAGTATTCGCCTTCCAGTCATTAACATCAATTTTTCCAAGTCCACAAATGATGAGCTGTAAATTTAAAATACGATTAATGATGAATTGTTAATTTAAAAGATCGTTTTGGAACTACCCAAATAATGCATAACTGATTCTGAAAAATTGTTACTCCAAACTTCCACAGTTGCTACGAAACGCTGCGTTGAGAATCACTCTCCTGGTTCTCTTGAAGATGCCTGCCATCCATGTCAGAGACTGCATGACCTGGTCACCTCTTATACTAACTGTATTTTTGTAACAGTGCACCTGCAAGACCCCTGGAGCACTGGGGATGCAACCTCACATGTTCCTTAGTCTCAGAAGACCGCCTGAGGCTTTTATTATCACACTTGACAACGAAACATAACATTAGTGTACTGACCTCTAACTCTTTCTCATCAAATGTCTTCAGCAGATGTTGTGGGATTACTTCATTAAATCCCTTCTGTAGAGCCAGAAACTGAGCTTCAATTCCTCGTAAAAATCGCCAGTTTACATAAAGCCTGCAAGCACGTTCAAATTGGATTTATGAAAGGTGTATTCAAACACAATAAACCTGCAATTTATCCAGCCCCCCAGAACTGGTCTTAGTGACAGAAAAATATAACAGAGCTATTGCATTACCACCTAGAAAGAAGAAAAAAAGCCACAAAACCCACAACACTTAATTACTTAATGTGCATAAACTTTCCTCCCATGGGAAATACCAGAAACACTGAAAAATATATTGCTGTACCTGACATATTCCTTTTTGTTTTCTTCTGTCACTGGGATGCTTTTGCCATTGGGTTTTAGCTCATGTTGAATAATCTCCCCGTATGCGTTGTGTTCTACACAAAACGTGTGGTCTAAGACTCCTGTAATGTCATTCTCACTGGTGGGAAGAAATAAGCAAGTGACTCAATGAAACATTCTGCAAACACATCACATCTGTAATTCTTTGGACAGATGTCAGAATTTAGTTTCTGAATACCATTTAGAAGAACTGCTGGAAGCAAGAGGTGAACAGACATTTTTGCTGTATTATATTTTAAGCCATCATAAACCTTTCAATGTTATACTTTAATAAAATGGTAACTGTCATTAACAAGCAAAAATCAGTAAACAAAGTTATGAATAACTGAGCACTTTACAGCTCAGTAATCTCTTGCCCCCCCCCCCTCCTCCCAGATTTGAAATCCTTGAGCACGTTAAGCCTTTAAAGAAGCTGAATTGTGCACATAAGATGTTTCTTAAATCTGCCTGAGCGGGAGATCAAAACATGCTTCAGCTCTTGTCAACAAGCATTAGGAACATGTATCACATCAACTGAGACACAATTCTAACACTAAGATATAATGCACAGTACATACAGTATCCAAACCAAGCTGTTATGAAGATCAGGGTCAACCAATTCCATATCATCCAACGTAATTGGCTTCCCTAGCAACTGCTTATAGAAAGGCAATGTGAAGCCACCATCAATATAGTGTCCATGAAACACAGCCATCCCCATTATCCGTCCAACAAAATGGAAATATGATAAGTGTTCCTGGAATTGAAAGAAAAGACTCAGTGATCCACCTAAATACAACTCCTGGATTGCATTTGCTGAACATTTAATTAAATTTCAATACAACTTAAAAACAACAGCAACAACAAAACCACCACCACCCAACAAACAGCCAGAGCTGTTTGATTTCTTTTTTTAGTTTGTTTTTATAGACAGCACATCGAGTATGTTGCTTCAAGTCCAGAAGTCTTACTGTTAAGAACTAAACTCCATTTCTCCCATAGGAAACACAGACTAACATCTTTAAGAGTATTAAGAACATTTGAGATGTTTCTTTGATCCACACTGAAATGAAATGATGTCATTTCATAAATTCAGTCTCTAGCAATACTGATGTGAGAACTAGATTATTGAATCTAGAGCATTATTCTCCACGTGTCCCTAATTTGTGGGTCACAAAAGCATCATTTCACTGAACTCATAGTATCAGTCATACCGGGTTAACTGCAGAATCTGGGTTGATTTGCAGTGTGTAGATATCATCTCGGGAATATTGGAAGAGACCATAATAAGGATTCAACATTTCATGTGACAACAGGTAGAGCCACTCCCTGAAGAACAGAAAAAAAAGAATTTACTGCATAACCCTAGATTAATTAATTAATTAATTAATTAATTAAAAAGCATTAATTAATTAATTCTTTTCAATCTTTTCAAAGGACAGTTAGCTATGCACATGCAGAAATCAGAATTATTTTTACTGGTTCAGTAACTGCACAGCATCTCTCGGCTTGCCATATTTCCCAGCCTGCCAAGATTTTCCTTCAAGTTACCACTTTCTAAGGGTTACTGATTATGATTCTGGCACCAAGTTGAGTGTTTAGTGGTGTACATACATTCCCAAATACCCAACTTTACCAATCAACACCAAAGGTGTCTTTGATGCAATCTGTAATGTGCATTTTGATTTATTTACAAGAAATTCTCTTTTCTTTGAAAAGACTATCTGAAAAATGTACACTTTTCTGACATATAACATCACTGGAATGCACAGAAACAAGAATAATTTTAAAAGAAAAAGAGCTGCTGTCAGTCTGGTGTAGGAATCAAAGCAGTGCAGCTGGTGGGGCTGGGGGAAGGGATGGAGGATGCACTGTTTACCTGGCAACACCTCCATAATCAAGGCCTTCCTCCCCACGGAACTTTATCATTAATCGTTTCCACAGATCTTTTGGCCTCATCTTCATGACTTGCCTGTAGGATTCCTGTAAATACACAAAAGGTTCTTTTATTAACTGCTGTTTACAGACAAGCAGCTACCGCTCTTATTAGAAATGGAGTCTCAGAATCCAAAGGGGATATTATTCTTCTACATACTAACTGCTGTCTCTCCAATCACAAGCTATTGCAGAGTTTTCTATAAATGCGATAATGCTTGTCAAGTAAAAGATAAGCAAGAACAATTGCCTCTAAGCTTCAGGGGTGCAGAGTATCATAATATTTCTTTTTCTTATTTTCACATAACTCACCTCACACACAAAAACATCCCTATATCTGTCAACTTTTTGTTTTTGCTCTCATTTTTGCTGTGTGGAAAGCCAGCAGTGGAACTTCTACTGACTAGAAGATGTGCAAACCTCCGTGAAGCATCTTAAGATGCTTAAGCAACTTAAGGACCAATGCCACCCCAGTATATCTATGGAATTATTCCTCTATCAGTAAGACTTCACCAAGACAATATGAAAAGAATGCTAAAGCGAGGCAAACCAAATACTGGTTGTAAAAAAGAATTAAATCAAAGGTTTTATTTATATCCAGTGATGTTGCCCCCAATCTTTGGCTTTGGGGAAGAGGTAGGCATGCCTGGCACACTTCAGAAGAAGAACATAATAATTTCCACTGCTTTACAGCAGCCTTTCTCCCCCTTCTTTTTCAATTTATTATGAAGTGATTTGACTGTCTCCAAAGGGAATACCAACACAAATATTTCTTGGCTGAATAAACAGTGACAACACAGTGGGGCTATCATGTTTGCGGGTGGAGCAAAAACACAACAGGGATGGGTGGGATGGGTGATAAAGTTCTTGAGACAAAATGTTCTCTAGAAAAGCCAATGAATTATAACTGCATTTCATCAATTCATCAGAATTATTCTGCTGAACAATCTCAAAGATATCCCAACAAGGGCACTTTTGGTCACTTAGATGCCTACAGAATTCATATAACAGATCTGGTTTGGAAAAATACTGCACCTCTCTTGGTTCTGGCTGATAAGACCCAAAGATGAATGCTATTCAATAGCAGTCTCTTCACTGAAGTTACAAATACATCAAGGGTCATTTTCTGATCGTTTGGTTTTCAATGTGCACCATTCTCTCTGTTAGGAGAGGCTTTCCCACATTTTGGGAAGAAGTGAAACAGCATCTTCAAATAGATGAAGTGCTTGGATGCTTTCCTCAGTCCCTGAGACAGTCTGCACATCTCTAACCACAGAAAAACTTTTCTCCTTGTTCTTCTTCCCCATGTGGTAAACACATCTATTTTACATGCACGATTGTTCTGAATATCCCCCTAAAATGCTTCCTCTCCCCATTCACCACCGGCAAAATCTCAGCTTTAACTCCAGACTTCAACATTTTGTCTAACTGAAAGAATTCTTCAGACCATTACGGACAACCCTCCTCCCCTTCCCTCAATATTAACAAATGGGTCAAGTTCTCAAGTTACCTCAAAAATCTCTTCCCTGGAGACCTCAATACGACAATGGCCAGCTTGAGGTTGCTGCTGTGACAGCTCTTGCCTCAGGATCTTGAGCTTCTGCACCAGGTCTCGTTTGTACCTTGGCACAGTCAGACACTCTGCCTCATCTGGCAGCTGACACAGGGACACTACCTGCTGCTGCTGCTGGTGCTGCTGATCTTTAAGTTGATTCTGGCGGCTAGAAACAAACACAGCTGTTTGCAGACATTCCAGTCACACGTCTCCTGTTTTCTTTATGCGTTTCTTAAAGGCTCAGTCTTAGTAACTAACACACTTTCGATTTACTGTGATTACTATGATTACACTAACAACATTCAGGCCTAGAAAAAAGTAAATTCAGAGAGCTTTTACCCTGACTAAAGACATATGCTTCTGTCTTTCTTGGCAACTATCAGTTGTTTTTAGAGTTAGTTACTTCTATTAGTGCTACTCTACAAAGTATGTAAAAGGTTACAGCACGATATAATAAGGTATTAACCATGCAGTTTTACTACTAAGCTGCTGACACTGAATTTCTCAGCTACCGTTTCCATATTTCCTTTGCGTGTTTTGCCTTCCTTCGATTTAGAATTCAGGGATCAGCCAAACACTCTGCCTCTAATCTACACTCAATACCACAGTCTGTTTTAAATGGCTTGTATGAAAAAGAGTAAGCTTACAAAAAGATGTTTGTACTGGCAGCTTGGCAAGGACCTTGTCCCTTGTACCTGGCCTAGTCTGGACCACAGGAATGTGGGGAGCTCACATGTAACTAACTGGCACAGATAAGCAAGTATTTTCACTAGCAATTCTAAGAGATTTTGTAAATCTAACTTCTTACTGGATAAAGTCAATTTGAGCAGAGATGTCCTTCCTCGTGTCACTTCTCAAGTAGGTGTTTTTGTATCACCAAGCTTTTTAGCATGGCATTTCCAAACAAGAGGACAAAAGCTGTATTTTCCCTAGAACTTGAAAAGCCTCTGTGCAGGACATGTGGTAACACCCCAAATTTATTGGATAAATAGGAAAGGTCACAATTCAAATTTTTTTTTTTTCCCCAATGGAATGTTAATAATTTTTTTTCAACATCAAGGACCAAACATATGAGATAGAACCACACACAACTTCAATATATTTTAAAATTTCAGCCTATTGCCTGTTTTGAAACAAAGTCTACTGAGAAAGCTCCCTTGACCGACAAAATTTCATTTCCAGCAGGCTTTCACCACCACAGCGTTCATTTTTGGCAATTAAAAAAAGAAGTGGGAGTGTTCCCAGTTTGCCCCGTGGTTCTGACTGCTATTCTCTTATTTTCAAACCTTTCATTTAAAGTTAATTTGCATGAACCATGTTCAAGGGAAATTTACACCAGTTTACTGTGATCATCACTATCAGTAGTCTTACAAACCTGCCATTTAGAAGCCCCTGCAATGACACACATTTGGATCAGCTCAGCAATAGCTGAAAGCTATCTTATTATTAATAATATTATCTTTTTACATCTGGGCTTTAAGAAGAGAATAATGCACAGCAATCCAACTCTGTCACAATGCCCTAAGATGTGATACTTTGGAAATAAGCTTAAATGATTTGGGGATATTCAGTGTTCTCTTGACTGTTCTTAAATTAAGGCAACCTTAACTTTATTCCTAAGCTGATCACATTATTACAATAAACAACAGTTATTTTAAAAGTCAATCCCAAGAAATCAATTCATTACAACAGCTTACAAAGATACTTGTTGTGGCTCCAGAATACAGTTCTATGTCATTTGTGCTACATGCATGATATTTTTGTATCATTATTAGTTCTAAATACCAATCTCAAACTGTATTTAATTGATAAACAAATTAAAGCAAAATTATTCTGTCTTATGCTTTCTCAAACTCTGGAAGAACAATCTTATGGAAATATTCCTTGTATATACCTACCAGAAAGGGTAACAATAAACACTAAGGTGAGGCTACAGTGGTAGCACATTTCATAGTGTAAAAGCACAGCAGCCTAGACATGGAACTAGTCAATCTTAAAGAAAATGCAATCTCTGAAATAAGCATGAGTTCAAGATGTATGCATCAAATTAAACCAATCTAAAATAAAGCAGAACTTGAAGAAAAAGTAAAGTGCCATTCTCTGTGTAAGGCTAAAAATAATCAGTGTAGCATTAAGTAAATAATCCGCAGTGCTTGAAGTAATTAAATGTAATTTCTTCGTTTGTTTTCACAGCTGAATGAGCCTGCTTGATTGTGTGCTGTACTTTGAGGATAGAGCTAAGTACTTTTCAGGTACCATAACTATCAAAACCTATCGTGAACTCTTGGCTAACATTTTAAAAGCAGAACTGGATGACAAATTTGCTTATTTTCATAACTTGTAATGCCATCATTGGAAGAATAAACTCTTTTACTCAGCTTGACAGAAAAGTCAGTATTACTAAAAGCACATTTTTTATTACAGCTTTGAACATAAAACTATCCCACCCATCCCACCCAAATACTAAACTTATTTCTCAGATAATTAAAAATGTCAGGCCAAAGATATATTGCTTTTTTTTTTTTTTCTTTTCTTTTTTTTTTTAATAACAAATGAGGTGGCTTAACAATTAAATAAAACAAGTTTAAAAGCTTTCGCATATCCTGTTTGGTGCAATAAAAGAATAAACACTAGAAAAGATTTATCAGGCATCAGGCTTTGCTGATGACACTGCTGGCTGGATTTCTGAAATCCTTTCCTAATGAAAGACAGATGTACAAATGAGAAAGAACTACTAGAGTGTACTTAAGTTTAAATAAATGTAATGTGCTTTTTAAACTTAAAAGACAAAGGGGATTTTCTAGACGAAAAGCTATACGTTGTCCTTCGCAACACATGAACCCAGCCACGTGTCCCTGCTACCACTGGAAATAAACCTACCTGTGAAGGACCCTGTTTTACATCAAGTCCAGTTAACTAACTTCCTGTGCTTTAGGAATTACATTGTTATAGTCGAGAGGGTCTGAAGTTATCTTTGGGTAAAATAGCTACGTCTGAATTCAATGTCTGGATGATGGGAACTTCACTTAAGCTCTGTAATATGTAGATGTGTACCAATGACTTTTTACACAAAGAAATGCTTAATAGCCCAAAAGGGAGAGGTGTCTAAATATTCAATTCAAATGGATATTGGGCAGACAAAGCCTGTCCAATTTTTGTGTATTACACATAAGACAGGTGTGCTTCATAGACATTACTTTTCTTGCCTTCATTATCTTTGCTTGCTCCCATTATTGTTTCCTTCAACTTCTCTTCCTAAGGATTTTCTTCCTTAAAAGACTATTCCTCACATGACTTTCTATCTAACGCTTTATTATTCCCTCCGCTCAAGAGCTACCTAATATTTTACAGGTATTTCCCCAAAAAGGTGTTGATAAGAGTCAAATTCCTGCAGAGCTTGGACAAACTGATAGCCATGCAGAGGCAAAAGAGCAATGTTTGTTTGCTTTTTCATTTCCATTTTCAGTAGAGCTCCCCAGTGTCAAACACGTGGCTGGGAATAAGAAAAAATATCCAGAATCTCATTCAGTTTCCTCCTCTTTCTAAAGCTGTGATATGAATACGTAATGTCTGCACTAAGGCAGAAAAAATATTTTTGTTTTCATGTTTTTTCTTTTCGTGGTAAAAAATCCAATTTAAATTATTTGGGTCTTTTACTTTGAGAACACCTGATCTAGCCTTACCTTAAAACAGGAGCTGAATTATTTCTCTTTTTCTCTGAGTAGTTGGGCACTTCTATCCCCTTGCTTACCTGAATTGGGTATTGAATGCAATCTGATATTCTAAAAAACAAGTACTCCATCATTGAAAGTAGTACTAAGCAAAAAGAAAAGAAAAGAAAGTGTCTCTCACCGTTGGAAAAAAATTCCACAGGCCAGCCTTTGCATGGGAAGGCACTTGCTTCTTCCCTCCATCCTGGCCCCCACTCCTGGCACCATGATAGCCACATTCCTGTCTATATGTGCCAGAGGGATGTTTGTTTTGCTTTTTGGTTTGTTCTGCAGTGTTGTTTGTTTCTTTTCCTTCTTTGCAGTTTTAAATACAAGAGCAATCAAACCCTCTTTGCTACGTAACAGAGTAGGCTGGCAGTGTGTTACAGAATGTCACTATTACACCTCCAGTTCTACTTATCGGCAGAATACGTCTCAATACAAAATCCAGCACACCTCAAGAGTCACTTTCTTTCCTCTATTATATTCAACACATGCTGGAGACTTTAGACTTACTTTAAGACTAAATGCAAGTTAGCAGATAGCCGCGGGTCTGTAAACTGCGTTGTCCTGTTGTTATGGTCAACAAAATAAACTCTGCCTGTTGCCGTATTTCGGATCTCCCATCCAGGAGGCAGTGGACCAAGCTCTTCACAATTGATGTTGCTAAGATCCCTGTGAAAACAAATATAAAATGAAAAATACCTCAGCATTTGGCCTCTGAGCCAAACAAGCGTAAATGTAACAGAACAATTCCATGAAGTCTGAGAAAATGTATTGTTTCAGAAACCTGATCTGTTCAGCTGGAATCTCTACTCCCAAGGTGCAGCCCACCAAAGGAAAAACACACACCCCAGAACACTTGCTGTAAGGAAAAAAAAATCTTATCAAATAGCCTTCTTTGTACAGACCAACTTCAGACGTTAAATTCATACAGGCTTAAAACAAAAATACAGGCCACTGCCACATTTGCTAAAATGGAATTGCAATTCTACACCAATTCTGACAGAAAACGTTTTTAAAACATCATTAATCACATAAGGAGCTCTGAATCACACATGACAAGCTCCTACAAAACAGAACTGTATTTGGGAAGAGTTACACATTCCATGAGGAATTACACATGGGATACGTGTATGCCACAGGTGATTTTTGCCCCCCAGCCCTCAAAGCTAGTGGGAAGAAAACGGTTTTCTAACAGAATCTTTCAAACATCTTAAAAAAATGTAAGCACAACGAGCAACACAGAGAAACCCACACTGGGCTTAAGAAAATTCTGCTGAAAACAGCATGACTACAGTGGTTTCAGAGGTTCACTGAAGACAAACTATCAGCTTTTTAAAAAATCAACAACGCACACTTTTATGCATATAATTCACACTTCAGCTACCACCTACTGCCAAGAACTTTTTTGAAGGCACAAGTCCTCAGATCCCCCAGTATCCTACAGGCTGATAGGAGGGAAAAGCTCAGGGACAGAAGGGCTGAAAAGATGCAGGCTGTAGGGATTCAGTGAGCTGAGAGGGCTGAGAAGCTACAAAAGGAAACAGGAGGCCCTGGGCCTGAGCTTCTGCTGATAGTGCTCATGCACACAGCGCTGAACACGGCCCTGGGAACCACAAGGCTTTTGTTTTTTTTTTTTTAAGCAACTGTGGTACATTAACATAAAAATACAGTACTTCTTAGAAATGACATCAGCTGCATCCCTTGTCCCTGTGGTTGGTACATGCAAACAGCCAAATTTTGTTCTCAGAGATGCACAGTTTCTGTTGCCACACCTAAGAGCAGCATTTTGGATTTTGTACGTAATCATTACACCACAAAATTTAGGAAACTTAACTTTCTTCATCTCTTAATTTACCTTTTAGAGAAATCTAGTTTCTAGTTTTATATACTACACAAATGATGTGAGCAAAACCTTCCTAATACACAACTGTCAACTCTGCTGCGCTCTCAAGTCTGAAGATAATGCATCATAGTGAAGAGCAATTCTGTAACACAAAAGTAGTACTAAAAACAATTAGAAGAATCATTTGAAAACACAACAAAATTACAGCTATGAGGCACTTTAATCCTTCCCAGGAAATCCAAAATCCATTTCCACGAGAACGAGCACCAGCAGCAACTGACAGAGCTGCTACAATTTTCATCAAGGCCAACAGTGGCTGCCAACTTCAAACAGCACACGTTTAAAAAAAAAAAGAAAAAGCCATTGAAAATTACTGCCTCTTAAAATGTATGGCTGGTATTTGTAAAGAACAATCAGAAACTAACAGTATTTTCTCTGTTATCCTTCCTTCCCCTCAAACACATCAGAAATAACCATGGGTACAATCACATACAATGTCGGTGTGTACATGTGCACACATAAATAAAGATATTGAAGTAAAAGAACTCTTCAGATTTATTTTCTATCAAGTGTAATATATCTGCATGAGGAACAGCACTTTGAATATTTAATCACAGGTTAGACTTTTTTAGACTCTGCTTCTTTTCTTCTCTCCTCAAAATTCCCAATTTGCAAGTTTCTCATTATCAGTGTGAAAGAATACACAAATACAGGTGTTGTTCACTTCAAACATGGAATTCAAATACAAAACAACCTAGTTTTAACTAAAGGACCTAGATAAATCCACATTTTTGGAAGCACTCAGATTCTACTTTTTGTTTAATTACTTTGCATAATACTAAAATCTGGACTCGGCTGAAATTCATACAATTAACTGATTCCAGGTGTTTCATATTGTTTTAAAACACCACTGTTTAAATAATTTCTTCTAGGGGCCAACAGGCAAAAAAAAAAAATTACTTCACAGAGGGCTCCAAGGACAGATTGGGAACTGTTCTGATTTGACAACCTAAGGACACTTTCAGCATTTTCTTACCTGGGTACTCTTGGATCATGCCACGTACTAACACCAGTTTGAGTATGCAGAAAATAGACCTGACCTTGCTGAGTCGTCCTTTGCTCTGCGAAATCAAGACAAATTAATAAATGTGAGAACAAAATACGTAACACAAAAACTCACACAGACTGATTAGCCCAAAGTAAGGAATCGAAGTGATCTAACATACAGAAGACAAAGCCCATTTTGCCAGTTGCCTGAAATATCTAAAATTAACTGATTTACATACCATAGCCTTCAGGTAAATCAGGAGGTGTGTGCAAATGTGTCCTGCTCATGTAATTCCTGTGCCTCTGCGACCTGACCCTCCTCTCTGCCAGCCGGGGATCTGATGACTGCCCACACGTGGCACCATTTGTTCCCGTAATTGGAGTGTTCTCATCCACAAAGCAGCTCAGTGGTCTGCCTGGACTGGAGTATTCTGATGCTGGCCTGTTGAGAAATACATGAACATTACCTGCTTCCCGTACCAGAATTAATCAACATTTTTGTTACCATTACTTCAGGTAATGTGAATTAAAAGCTGGTGTAGAGACATTTATGCATGGCAAGCAACTAGAATGCTTGCAGAAATCTGAGAGGAGTCATGGCACTTCCAGGCAAGATGGCCTTCCCACTGTCCTTTATATGCTTTTGTCTGTCAGTGTTACTAAAAGCTTCATCTGAAGGCTCTTAGAAAACTTTGTGGGCTGCAGAACAGAGCAGTCGAGCCCTGGACCAGGGCGCCTTGATGATGGGCAGACAGCTGTCCTGTGCTTGCTGAGTTCATCCCAGAGTAATGAGTAAACCTCTTCACCTACCCCACGGTCTGACCTAACACTTCAGTTTATGACATTACAGGATCAAGGTCACATCAAACGCTCACAACGAGCAGTTCCCATCCTAAAAAAAGAGTGCTGAGAGTAAAATTATTATTCTTTTATGAGCAGCACATAGCCCAAGCTTTCTCACCTTCCCTTGATAAGCCTCACAAAGCTATAATGTCTCATCCCCTTCAAGAAAGTGATTAGACAAGGATGGTGGAAATGGGCTACGTGTTTGCAGAGGGACACTGGAATGCAGAATACCTCCTGGTAGACAGACTTCCTTGTGGTCAGTGTTCCAGGTCAGCAGACAAACATCACCATGTGCACGGTCTCCTAAACAATTTCTTACCGTGTTGGTCGTTCCCACTGAGTTGTTCTTGTAATATGATTCAAATACTGGATCCTTCCAGAAGCAGTTCTCCTTTCCTCCCACCTACCATTCAGACATGAAGAGATAAGGCAATGAGTGGTATTTAACCAGGAAACCAGGGCACAAAACGTTTCCATCATAAATGCCAACTCAGGAAGACTTACTATAATGAATCGTGTTAGCTGAACAAGGTAACAGGAAACAAAGGAAAGTTCAACTCTAATTACTTTTACATGCTTTTCCCTTAGAACCAGGGTATTATTAACAAGATCACACCTTCTTGTTCAATAAATATTTGAATTTTAATTACATTCAAATAGTCACTGAAAAAAAACTTATTTACTAAACTTAAACAGGATCAGTGGTCAATAAAAGTCCTCTCACAGCACCTTCATGCAATGCTTAGTTTCATTTAAAAAGTCACCTTCAATTAACAAGGCTCTTCCATTATTAATATTTTTGCACTCCAAAATACACGGGGCTGTACAGCTAACTCTGCAGTCACACAAATATGCAATATTTATACAATGAGCATTTTTAAGTGATAGTTTAAAAGCATTTTCAAAAACACTCTGGACTTCCTCAGATTCTAGATTAACAAAGCATTGCTGCTTAGAACCTAGATGACAATTCACATTTTAAGGCTCATCACCTGATGAGTTTGTCCTGTCTTTATCTGCCAAGAATCACACTCAGAGCTTCTGTGCTTGCTCTGAAAAAGTTGATGACAACACCAGACCTAAAACAGAGCATATTTTTGTATTTGAAAAACTGCTTTAGGTGTTAATGATGTCATTAACTCTGCCAGGGAATATCAAAATCCCAAGCCCAGTGTTTGGGAGGTAAGGACAGCACGAACTCAGGCTCCATTATCTTTTCCAATCATGTTTTCTTCACCATGATTTACATGAAAGAAGAAAAAGCACAATTTTCTACCACAGTATATACAGCTGCACAGCTGTGTAGAAGACAGCCAGGTCTGTGTGCTACTGCATTGCTTCAAACTGGATGAAGTCAATTTGTTGACCGTGATTTAACATAATATTAGTTTATCAATTCTATAATTTAGAAGGTGTATTTTCTAAGCATATTTTAAAAATGCATTTATGCACATATGCCACCTCCTCCTGTTTTCCAAAAAAAAAAAGAGAGGGGTCAAACTATTAACTATTCTGTGTAACCTTGTTGGCTAATTTGCTGCTCCTAAATTTGAACCTGTAGAACTTTTGAGTGTGAGAACAAAAATAAATTAGCCCATTTATACTTTGACTTCCCATTACTGCAGAAGCTCTTTGTGTGAACTGTATTTGTGTTGATAGTAGAGTCAGCTTACCCATCTGGTAAATCATTGTCAAACAAACGACTGCAGTCCACGACTTGTCCTCCCGTGCCTATTCGGTCTCTGGACTGAAGACTTACTATTGAGATAATAAAGGAATCATTACAGATATGACATCTGCAGGTGAATTACAGGTACACTTAAAAAGAGAAGCACAATTCAGAGGACTAAGCTGAACCACGATCTGTGTATTTTTTATTTTCCACAGCTTTTCACACATGTTAATACCCTACACATCGTTTAAATAGATATAAAGTTAAGGCAGGAAAAGAAGTTCATTCTGAAGCTGTCATAAGCTTTCCCCTGTAGGAAGGGGACTATCATACCATGCTGTCCTCATGGACAGAATGGCTCCAGCAGCAAGTGGGCTGTACTAATGTACTGCGAGGGCCAAACCTACTGCTAACATGATTTTGACTCCTTACCACACATTCTATGTGCACATGACATCTACACACACGTACAAAACCAAGCAGAAGTGAACACCACTGGAAATGCTGTGTGTTTCATGAGTTAGTTACTGTCAGTGGTAGGAAGTCAAACCAACACTCACACAAAGCATTGCTCAGCACCCTGCAAAGTCCCTCCTGCTCTCAGCAGAACCGAACTGTATCACGACTGGATTTGTTTCCTTGTGATGAATATTTACGTCCGAAGCTGTTGTGCGTAGTACAGTTATGAAAACAGATTTCTAGGGGCAGTCTTCGTTCCCGGTATCATAATTAGCAAATGTCTAATCTGACACCTTATGACATGCATTGCTGTGGGTTACTTTTTAAGACGTTTTGCTTTGCTTTTAACAATAAAATGACTACTTAAAAACTAAACCCATGCTGTAACACATTTCTTGAGGTGGCACTACCGTGCCTTTGGACAGCTGTTCAGGCTCTGTCTGCATGCAAAGTGGAATAAACTTCCAGACCTTAATGTGTACACAACCAAACACTCACCCAGATCACAAAGGTAAGCGAAGATGGAACACCACCTGTAACTTTTGCCAGAGATGCTGAACTGTCAATGACAGCATGCTTTGAAGTTCAAGATTTTGGGCCTTCACCAGACCAACCCAGGAACCCTGCAGCACCTGCTTGCCTTACTCCTGATCAGTATTAACTCCTTGTCTTCCACACTCACTAACACTACACAGTAACTTCTTACAGCAAAATGTACCTTACATTTAATTTCAAACAATATGAAATCTTAAATTACGTATTTATTCTGCAACAAACCCACACATCACAAGTTCACGTTGTTGCATGTAGGCAAGGTTTGGCAAGCAATACACACAGACAAAAATAAAACTAAACAAAGGCAATTACCTCCTCTTTGCCTATGTGAGGACCAAAATTTGTGCACGGCTTCATTTTGTAATGAGTAAGGACTCATTTTTTCTGCACCGCCACATCAGAAATAAAATGGTGGCACAGAAGACAGCTGCAAGATTAAGACACAGTTCAGGTGCCCTTTGCATCTACTACTCAGAAGTGTCCCCCTCTTCTTCCCCCCTTCGAAGACAATCCCAAATATTAAAATAAAGTTCTTCTTGCTCCCTGACCCAAATTATAAAGCCATATCCACTGCGTACTTGATTTGTAGGGTTACTGTCACCTGAAGATATCAATGACACTGTAATATTGTTTTCCCATTTGTCATAGCCTTCTCATTGAAGACAATTTATCATTAAAAGGGCTGGGAGTACATTTACTCTTATTCTATTTTGTTACTTAATTTTAAAAGATTTTTCCACCATGTAACAACTGCAGTGGAACCACCGACTCACTCAGGCTCATTCACTTATTCAGCAAAATTGTATTAGCGAAGAAAGATTAAAACGTGAGAAGATTAATAATGACATTTCCAACAAAAGAGACAGGAGTCCCTGCATTTTGCTGAGCGTGCACTAAATTAAAACACAGCCACGACTGAGGAAACCTTTCTGATGATAACAGCATCAAGCACAACATACAGAGGTCTCTGCAGTAACCTAACAAGCTGTGGTTTTTCTGCGGGTTTAATGCATGACCCAGCAGCTCCTACTAATTAAGGACAGTCCCAGCAGCATGCCATACGAATAAATGCTTCTTTGGCTGTACCACTTCTCACAACCACATCAGCTTAAGCTGACTGGTCAGTCTGGTTTCCGGCCACCTGGCTGACAGCTGCTTATCTGTGCCACATCTCTGAAGCGTATGTGCCATGCCCACACATGGCATTTGAGTCAGGTTTCCTTTGTGGCATCCCAGCAGCCTTGAGATCTTTCTGCTTTGTATTTTGTTTCCCGTTTAAAGCACCCACATTAACACTGCTGTTCTCATGACAACAAGGATGCATGCTGTGTACTCTGGAGGGCAGCATGAGAGCATGTGACGGTGTGAGGGCACAGACCCTGCTAGTATCATCATGCCTGAAGGATGGCTGCAGGCAGGGGACACCTCTGCTGCTTGGAGCAGGCCCTGAACAAGCTCTCTCCTCGGCTGTGCTCAGATTCTTCTGAAAAAGCATCTCAGAAAAACAGAACAAAACAAAAAAGCCACACAGACGCACACAGCCTGGGCGATCAGGGGACCAGCATACTGGAGCAAAAACTAAAAAGCAAGCTGAACTGCCTAGAAAAATGTCTGGTTTATCTTCCATTCTTTTGTGCAAGTTCACATGGAAAATGTAATGCTCAGGAATGGTCTGAAGTGTCAGCAGTGCACCTAAGTTCCACACTTCTACCACCGTTTGACCCTTCTGTGCCACCTTACTCTTATCTGAATACCAAGCAAACACTCTCAGATCAGATGCTAGACAGATTAAAGCAACATGATGAGATAAAGCCATAGGTATTATTCAGCAGGACCTAGAGGAAAGCTGATTGTTTTCTCTGGCTGACATATTACTTGAAGCAGGAATTGAACACAGAAGTGAACATGTAAACTCATTTTTTTCACCCCTCCCTCCAAAAACTCTCATTAACACTTTGCCAGAAAGACTTTTTCTCCTTATCCACCTATTTTTGACCTCTGAAATTACCTATTCAAAACAGTTGTTTGAAACGACTCACAATGCACCAAAAGGTTTATGAAGTCATTTCTGGATGCTTTATTTTTCCCAATTTGTCAGGTTTAAGAAATTATTTTTTTCATTCTTAAGTTATTTATGGCTGACAAGCAATGGAATGATGAAGCACAGTTACCAAGACTGGTGACAGGCCTGTTAATACCCCAAAATGAATTGACCAAATAGCCCCAAATATAAACCCACTCTTGCCTCAGCAAGATGTTCTAATCTTGCCCAAAACATACAGGAAGCACGACTTTGCTGGCGCCCTCAACGGACAAGAAGTCTGTAGTTCAAGGATTAAACTGCTACTTTTGTTTACTGAGAAATTCAACACTTCCTAAATAGTTTTCATATGATCTCTGTAGCATCTTAACTCTCCCAACACTTATTACAGTATGCATTTTATTTTTACATTTGGTAATTCTCTGCATACACACTTTTATCTTTAGGTCCAAATGTCTCTGGCACGAGATGCTGAATTTAAAAAATAAATAAATACAGAAACCTGATTAGAAGGGTATTTCTGCAGCTACTGTTCAGCTACAAGAGAACTAAAAGATTAAAAGCCTCACTTACCTACTATCTGTCCTCTAACAGTGTCATTGTCATTTGGCCCAAGCTTGCACAGATCCAATCTCTGATCTAGAAAACAAGGACACACGTCATGCAACATTTTGATGTCTTTGAAAAGCACTCCGAAGTATCATCAGAACAAAAATGACCTGAGCACAAGACAGTCAGGACTTCAAGAAGCAAAATTCAAGAAGGGAGGCAAAATTAAAAATCTTGAGACCCAACATTCCATAATTCCAAAACAGAAAACAAGTTTCTGAAATATCTGCCCTACTTCACAAAGCTCTGTTAACAGAAGCTTACTTCACATTTTAGTCCCTTGACCAGCAGCTGTCATAAGGAGCTCACGGTGTGCCATCTCACAGCACACAGCCAGCCTGCAGAATCAACTCATTTGTTGCACACTGTATCAGTGGAACTTCATAAAACAGAGCAAATTGTAATGTTCTGAAATGCTGATTTAATGAGAGAGATTTGAAAACAAAAACTTCAGTTCTAACTTTAACAGCAGGGAACCTGTTTGAAGTAAATTCAGAATGCTCCTCTGTCAGCAAGTCACCTTTTTTAAAGAAAATGACCTTTATTGGCAACCACTAATTTTCCATCACAAACAACGTGCCAAATTTTGTTCACAAATTAGAATGCATTATGACTGATCAGTGTAAACAGCACCAATTAAGATAATAATGAAAAAGGATCTTGCACACCGATTAACTTTTTCAGAAGTAAACACAAAGCTGTGTTATAAAACAACATTTTATGACGATTGAATTTACTAATTTTGAAGAGCCAGACATTTTTAACTACAGCTTTTACTTCAAGAGAGGATTATCTTTTCATTTACCCTGTGCATTTCTGAAAGTAATAAAAAGGAAATTTGGAGGTAATGAGAATCTGTGTTTCTTCAAAATTCCAACACAGTAAGTTCAGTCTTGACAATGCACAACCAGACTGCTGCACTGCATCTCCCACCGCTTTCATGAACCAGGCAAAAGAACTGGAAAGCCAAAGGTAAGTTATGTTCTCTAACCTGCCCATCCTCAGCAACAAAGCACAAACTACCAAACTGTTTGGAGCATACAAGCTTCATAAAAACCAAAACAAACTCAATTAAGTGCCACTCTTTAACATTTCTGCACATAAGACATTTGAAAGAGAAGAAACATTAGCATTTAGCTTACTTACAACCAGTGTCTTTAAGGCGGTTAATTGCATTTGAAAGAAGTCTCACACAGCCCAGAAAACCAGCTCCCTGCTTTTTATGTATTTTCTTGTGATTCCACACACTGATTGTTATTGAATCCGATTTCCCAATATACCTGAAAAATGTGAACAACAGTACTGTGAATGACATTTACTGAATGCTCTGAAGATGCACCAGAAATGACCTCAGGGGAAAAAAAAAAATTATCAGCCATTACAATAAAACTGAGCACACGATTTACCAGCAAGAACAACTCATCTTTAGATGTGCACGTAACACCGTAATGGAAGTGCATCTCACGAAGGAATTTACCTGAACACAAATTAATCTAAAATCCTGATTCTGAACAGAGGTACTCATAAGAATCCAAAGTCTACTGAAAACTGTTTAAAACAGCATCCCTGACAGACTGGCCTGGCCTCGGAGACTCCATCTCCTCAGGGCGATGAACATGCTTTGATTCATGCCCACATTCAGCCTAATGGAAAACCATGGCAGGGCCTGCAGTGGATGCATTTGTTAGCAGTGCTAGCACATTTTGGATGCCAGGACAGAAAAGTTCAGCATCCTTCTGCAGCATTCCATCTACTGCTTTTCTCAGGCCACTCTTCCAGCCACTGGGAGCGCAAGTCACCCTACTGCTCTTCTGAGCAATCAGGAAAACAGAAAGTAAATCCAGCTACAAACCTGCACTCAGTGAACTTCAGGAAGCTATCAATTATTACTGAGAAAACTCCAGAAAGGCCCAGTTTGAAGCACACATTACTTCACAAGTATGACCCATTTCAAGAAGTTGATAACCGTATCTCAGTCAATAAGTGCCAGGCTCCCCTCCTGTCCCCAGCTCAAGCTGCATCCTGCCAGCACTTCTACACAAATGCTCTGAGAAACCCACATCTGTGCCTCACCGACTTGAGGAAGCCTGCACACCGTAGGCTACTGCATCTTTGCTTCTTTGTTTGCTTGAATCTCTGCTCCTCTGAAGCAACTGCTTTGTGAGCTAGTCTTGGTTTACAGGGACAACTTCACAACACTGATGCTATACCAGTTATTGACAATACTGCATAATATTAGTAATTTTAAGTCAAAGAACATTAATTTGGATCTATGCTTAGAAAATGAGAACTGCTCCCAGATCACAGATTCTGGCCTTCTGCAGTTTAGTTCCAAGTGGGAACTAACCTCTCTGTTTCTGAAGGAAAGCTAACCAAATAATTCAGCCAGTTCCTACATACCTCTCCCCCAATGACAAAAGACTTGCCTGGCTTCAACACATCTGAGTAATTTCAAAAAGATACAAATGATACTGTCAAGGTTGGCAAACCAAATAATTGATCTGGCTTTCATGGTTAAAAATCATAGCTCTGATCATGTCAGCTCTCAATTAACACTTCTTCCTTTTTCCTTTATGGTATAAAACTCAAAGCAGAACTTCGACTCTTTTTTTTTTTTTTTAAACCACCTGCAGACAGGGACTGATTCAAGAAACAGAAGACAGACAAGCCCAATGTAGGCACATACACATGAATCTGTTTTAAAATAACAAGTGCACAATTAAAAAATAAATAAAAAATTTAAAAATCCACAACTCACACAAACAAAATCCAAGTTTTTTGGAAGAGCAAACAGATTACATGGTACAGGTTAGATTTTTGGCCTTACAACCTTGACAATGCCAATTTTGCATAGAGAAACGAGATGAAGATGGGTATCACGTGCACAGTTGCAGTCTACAATGTTTCATGTACTTAAAATAAATTTTTATGAGAACAAGCTAAGTGCACTTAAAAACAAAGACTTATCATGACCTGTCTTGAATTTTCCAGTTTTCCTTGTTGCTTTAAAAAAGTCAAAGGTATATGGTTAAACACAATTTCACAATAGAACAGTTTGAATAATATGCAGAACAGCTGAATACACAACACCATTTCCAAGAATTACTGAAACCTTCCAGGATGAGGTTCTCATGGCTGAGATGCAGACAGTAAACCATCTGTACCAAACAGGTGAGGACTCACTACACAACTGCTTCACCTACTGTGATTTTTGACCCGAAAACCTGGCTGATTCTTTCATTTAAAGGAAATAAGCAATGCAAGCAGCATTCACCAAATGAAAAGAGAAAGAAACGAGGAGAAGAAATAGCTCAGTAAGTGCTGGTTGGCTGTATAGGGAAATGCTGCATCTATGATTCTGCATAATTTCAGGCATGAAAATATATGGCTGCATTTAGAGAATGGTGGTAGGACAAGCTGATGTTCCCAATTCTTTTGGTGGGTAGGTTACATTTGTTTTACATCATCTGGCAGTAAAGTTCCAACATAAGCCTTAGTTAGCAATTTTATTTGTTATTAAAAAAGAATGTTCCAAAAATTAAAGTGAGCAAGTTAAATGAAACAACTTCATTTTATTGGATGCTTCTCTTCTTCTCCTTATATTACTTGTTCAAGTTCTTAGAGGTTTATTTATTTATTTTTGAAACTCCACTTCATCAGCAATATCAATTTCACTGCTTAAATCCTTCAACAAAGACAACAGTATCAGTATTAATGAAGTGGAAATGTGGAAACTCAATTTCTATGTATGTTTTGTTAACTACAGAGCATCTGGTCTATATCCCTGCATTTCCCTAATCTGTGAAGTTAGGGCTTCGGATAAGAATCACACGTTTGGAAACGTTACGACAACTGCCTATTCTTAGCACTTCCACTTCTAGACAAAAATCATGTAAATGCCATTCTGGAAAGCTGCAAAATATTTTGATCAAATGTATGACACAGGGACAGTTGTTACTTTGCCTAAATAAATTTGTCTTTGCCAGGACAGTACTCCTCCTGTGCCAAGATACCACGCCAGGAAGGTCTGCTACCCCGCAGCCTTTCAGCCCCATGGCATTGTACACATTTTCCCCAAAGAGTTCAGCTTGGTAGAGAAGCAGAATGAAGAAAGTGGAAAAAACTTATTCCTGAAAAAACACATCTCTTCCTGATCACAAGCCAGATGTATTCCCTCCAGAAAGAGAGAAAAATGCAACATCAAGAGGAATGAATTCAGACTTGGAAGCCAGGAATTCCCTACTTCTAATCCATGCTGTCACTTAGGCTTTGTTTCCTTTTATGAGCTGGACAAATTATTTAGTTTGTTTCTCTGTTTTCCAATTTCTGTTGTTATTTTTTTTCCACATTTGTGTTTCTGCTTGTTTTAAATATAACAGTAATGTCATGCTTTGAGTTATCAACTGTTTTCAGGCCGAAGGATAAGAGGGAGAAGAGAAATAACAAAAAATGTCATCCCAGATTTTTCCTCTTCTCCCCACCCTGACAATTACTCTCATCTCTGGAAGTAACAGGGGTGTTCTGAGCCTGCAGCACTAAGCCAGGGGCTGGGGCAGGAACACAGCATGTACACATGGCACTGGCTGCCTGCTCTTCTTCCCCTCCTTGATATGACCCAACCCAACACTGAATTAAGCCTAAAAAACACTGTAAAGCAGCTGCAGCAAGCAAACAGCAGGCAGAAGAGCTCCTACTGCACAACAGACACACCTCAAAGGTTCAGCAAAGACACATATCTGCCGTGCTCGAGCTGGAACAGCCAGATCTGCCAGAGCCAGCAACACTTCCACCTGAATGCAGAGGGCAAAAGCTTCACCACATCAGTCTAAACAGCCACATCAAGGAGACCAGACTGTTACACGGTGATGGTAAGGGAGAGTGGTGGTTCTGCTTGGGGCAGTGCTGCAGCTTGAGAAGGCAGAGGCACAGAGCAACACTTGAACTTGCAGCAAGGAGATGCTGGGGAGTGGAGTAGTCACAGCAGCTGGGAGAAGCTACAGTGAATTGGAGAGGTGCGACAAGGAGGAAAAGCCATGAATCCTTGCTAGAATCTTGGGGCGCAGACTGGAAGGCCACAGAGCAAGGAGGAGTCAAGGAGCAGACTATGGCACAAATATCTTTTAGAGTTCGCTGTGCTATAAGGGTAGAGGCTGATAGAGAAGGCTGGAACAGGCTAGAGAGAATAGGTGAGAGTGGGAAAGCTGTGGGAGAGACTGCAACTATGGAACAAGGGTGAGGAAGGGAACAAAAGCAATTGGGTATGGTTTAAATAGCATTTGAATGCTTTTAGTGCAAGAAGATGTGTAGACACAAAGTCTGGTTATTCAAAGCTTTGAGAAGAGCCCTTAACAATAGGGAAAGCACAAACAAGCCTGAAAATAAGGAAGGGAATACATCCAGGGCAAGCGTGGTATTTTGCTAACATTAAACTGCATTCAGACAGCAACTATTTGGTAATTTCTTTCTGGAAGGCATCTCACATTTCCCCCTCTACACACACCCATCCAGACTTAAGAATCACAGCATCTAACTAATTCAGCTGCTTTCTTTCACAATAAGAAATTAAGGACCATGTAAGGCAAAAACAAAACTTTTTTTGTTCTTTGTAACACTAAAGAATTCTTTAAAAACATCTTATACAACAGAGTATCTGTTATGCTGAACCAGGTTAACAAAACAAAATTCCCTTGGACTTAGCCAGCTAATTCAGACATTATTCCATAAACACACTGCAACAGATCCATCTTAGTGGGCCATTTTCACATGCTATTATGTGATACACAAGATTAGAAGCGGTGTTAACCTGTTACACAAATCCCATACAGGGGACTTCAATGAATGCAATTACAAAGAGAACAACTTTACTGCATGTAAAACTACTGCAGTCATTCAAAAATGGTAGGAAGAAAAGCAGGACTTCAGAAAAAAAGAAAAAATCTACATAACTCCACCTTCCTCTGGTGGATTTCCTATGCTTTGTGGGGGCAGAAGCAGGCAAGCAGGCATTCTGCCACCAAGACTCCATGGGTTATGCTTGGTGTGCAAAGTATTTCCTGTAACAGTGGAAGTGTTGTAAGTCAGACCAGCGTTCCCATGCAGTGGTGTGTTGTCAGGGTAAACATTAGGAAGTTTTAAAAACCTAATACACTATTACTTTCAAAGAATGAGAAAATGAATCCCTGCAGCCTACGAGGTCTTCCATCAGGTGCTTGGCAGTAGACTGGTTACTATTTTTACTAATTTTTTTTTCCCCCAAAAAGGAGTAGTTCATTACCTAATTATCTGGTTCAGATCAAGAGCTGAGACCTGACACTAAGTATATTAAAAGTATATCTAAAATAAAAGACAGACAGTGAGCTGTTGTAGCTCAAACAATTGATCTTTTATTGCTTCAAAGAGGAACTGAAGACTAACTGCAGGTATTTATAAATGAAAATAAGTTTCTACAGAGTAAAGGATGACAAGCAAGACAATAACAATAAAAAGGGATAAATGATTATGAAAATTCAGAGAGAGAGAGGATTACTTTCAAATTACAAGGCTTGCCACAACAATTAATTGTACTCTGGATTAGAAAGGCTCTGTATACTTCTGTTCATTAAAGAATTCAACTGCTGGAATCGAGCACAGCAGTTAACCCTAGAGAACATGTAATTTATACTGAAAATAATATCCTAACTAAGCAAAATCTAGTCATGTTAAAAAAAAAAAGTGTAAATTCCTTACAACAGTCTAGCAGGAGCTCTTCCCCAGATATAAACATACAGGTTAAGCAAGGAGACACATACCTGTACCTGATAAAGAGCAATTTGTCACCAGTCACCAACAGAAACACAAATTAGATGGAAGAATGAAATGAAGATCTGGGAACCTTTAAGGAAAACTGTGCACTTTAAGTAACATGCACAATTAATTTTAAGTACGACGACACAGAGATGGCCCAAATCTGCCTCAGAACAAAATGTTCTGCTAGGAGCCCCTTTTCTATCCCTGTTTTGTATAAAAGAATGCAGACTGTGATCACAGTCTTGCTTCCAAGCTAAGAATGCAAAAATACCTTCTCTTCATCCTTCCTTGAAAACTGCAACCAAAAAGGAAGTTTTTTCAAAAGGTTTTACTATTTTTTTCCATTACTCTTACAGCATGTTAACTTCCTCCCTCGTTTCCCATGTCTTCTGCTCCTTCTCCAAAATTCAACCGGCTCTCCAAATCATGAGAACATGCAGCACCTACAGTCCCTTCTAACCCACACCTGCCAATGGCTTACTTGCATTGTCACCACTTCAAAGTAACAGCAGACAGATACGTGGGAGCCGTGGTGAACTGATGACAACTTCAACACAGAACACAGGTATGAAATGGAGTCATGGGAGAGAAAAAAAAAAAGACCTGAACAATGGATTGGAAAGAAAGAAGGTGAGGCAGAACTTTTCACTTCTCTTCCTCATTTTCAAGAAAGAGAAAACATACTGATAAAAAGGACAGAAAATATATAATGCATGAGCACAAAGAAATCTATGTAGAAGTTTTAATAAACCACATTACATCGCATATTCCATGCTTTAGAAAAACAGAAGAAAAACGCAACATATACATGTCATACTGATTATACTGCTCAACTACACAGAAGGATGCTCAAGCAATGATAACAACGTAAGAATTTGTAATAAAAGAGAATTTGAGACAGAAGATGGAAAAATAAACAAGAAACAGAGCAGGAAGACAGTGTAGCACTACAAAAAAATACGACGAGCAGTTTGAGGAAAACACTATTACTGATTTTACAGGTGTCAATATGAAAATATTACTATAAGATAATAATGCAGTATGTACAAGGCATGTTGCAGACATCATCACTAGAAAATCAAGTACAGCATTTAGATTTTGAGGGAAATGAGAATGTGATTTTGACAGATGTATTTTTCACCCAAACTAATAAACTCTGTGATATTTGCCAGGCTGTTAGTAGGACAATATTACGAACATCAGATAATTTCTGTGTACTTTAGAGGACTGCACTTCAAACCTTTGGTTATCACTGTTACCACCTACAGGTCATAATGCTGATTCCATTTTGGATCAAGTGTATTCTTCACAGTATCTGTAGAATGGCATTGGCCAGATCCGTCCACCACAACCTTAGCAAATGGATCAGGAAGTCCTAAGAGAAAGAAAAAAATTAGCAAATGGATCAAGATGCTTCAGAATCCTAAATCACTGCTTTTTTTAAACAAACATATGTTAATAAAAGCCATCTGCAATTTTAAAAGTAAGTCATATTTCTTGACTATGATATAAAAGAATTGCATGATGTATTAAGGACTGGAAATGGCTAGATTCGTAAGTTATTCCACACAAGTTTCTCTCAGTCTCTATCACTATCAAACACCTGGGGGAGGGGGGAGGAATCTTTCTGTAAAGCCTCTGAACACCTTAATCTCCTTAATTCAAGATTGAGTAAGTTTTTGGTATATGAAACATTCAGCAAAAGATAGGGAAAACAGAACTGCACTCTTCCTATTTTAAAGGCCGACTGTCATCAGTATTTTAGTTGACATTTGCATTAAAGGAAATTGTCTACAGCAGATTATACATGCTTTTGAGGTCATCTTCGTTTTTCTGCTCGTTTCCTGCTGCATTTTCTCCTATCTTAGTACCTCAGAAATACTCAGCACAGGTTCAGCTGCTAACAAAACCCCACGCAAAGACAGTACTGGACAACACAGCCGAGGGTGGGAAAGAAGCAGGACCAAAGCAGCCTACAATTAGCTCTACTGCAACTGCTGTCCTGAGCTATTAACTGACCCCAGAAGGGATGGTCCCACCACTAACACTGTTTTTCCCTCACACTAATTCCTGCCCTCATCTGCATGCCCAGTGACTCAGCTGCAGGAATTGCAGAGGTGAAACATTATTTGCTTTTTCTGTAGTGTAAGGTTTGCACCAGCGCTGCTTCCTCAGGCAACTCAGACAGAGCCAGTCTGGCACCAGTGGCCCAGGGCTGGTGCCAGACATGGCAGATGGGGATAAAGGCAGTGCAGGCAGGGAGGGGCCTGCTGGGATCCGTGCTGCCGACTGGCTTAGCTGCAGTGCGGAACTGTTCTCTTCAAAGCTCAGGTCTGATCTTTTGAATTCTTCCTACCCCCAGCAAGAAGGCAGCAGGCAGGTGATGTGTGTGTGCACGCCTACAGAGCCAATAACATTCCTGTCTGCCTGCTTCACCTCCTCATTAATTAAAATATAATTTCAGAGTACGTAAGCATTATGATACAATTAATAATTAAGATGCACTTATATGTCTGCTGGACAAAAAGTTCTTCTATATTTTAAGTACATGACACTAATGCTGAAAAACATCATTTGCTTGAGAGAGTAGGTTTGTTTCCCAGTCCCATTAAAAAAAAAAAAAAAAAAACAACAAGGGGAGAAGGAAAGCTTTAATGTATTTTGGTTTTAATTATTATTATGAACGTTGTGTCATCCAAGAAAAAAAAAAAAAAAAAAGTAATCAAAAGCCCTGAAATGAAATGGAGCAAAAACATGAAAGACCCCTTAATGCAACCAACCAAATACAGGAATCACATGCAAACAGGGATTTACAGAACTTGCATAATATTTATCCCAACTATCAATGTTTAAAACTTGAACAGCTACTTACGGAAAAAGTCCTTTTTCACCAAGTTCTTTGCACACAGTACTGTAGAAAAACAAGAAATGTAAAATTAAGTTTCTGGTTATTAATACCAACAGCGTTAATTTACTTGCCCAGCATACCAGAAAATCCTGCTCAAAACAACAGGAACGAACATAAAAGAATTGTACACCATTTCTATTATCATGTAAAATAATTCCGGAAAGCTGAGCCAGAAGTGTCAGCTTTTGGCAGTTCACCTGTGGGCAGATTGCAGGGAAGCCACACAGCCCTGCTCTCCTCTGGCAGCAGCATCGCATGCATTTTTGTCCCCGGTGCCAACTGGAGCTGCTCTACCTTTACCTATTGAGGGAACCAGGTCAGTGCTAACGAGCTCAGCACACGGGGGCACAAACAATACGAGCTCTTGTGCCCTGCAGAACGCTCACAGCTTTCTGACCACAGAAGAGTGCACGAGGTGGTCCTGGCTTTTGTATTTACTTTCCATGTAAGATAAGAAAATTTATTTTTTTTTACCTGAAAAAACATCAGGGTGGAGCAGGCTAAATTCTAACACTAAAGTTTCATAGCTCCAAAAATATGTATTATTGTAGAAGCTGAACATTTTGGGCAGCTTTTTTGATTATGTAAATAGGAAGGAACATCTGTACTTCTCCACCAAAAATACCAAGGGGGAAATAAGAATGGAGTATATAAAAATGGAGGTGAAAAAAATACATCTATAAAAGGAGACAACTTTCATATAACAGTGCCAAAGTACACACACAAGACTTCTCACAAATCGCACTGCTGTTCAACTACACACACTTATTCATTATGGCAGGTTTAGCAAGCAGGAACTATTAGATTCCCCTGCAAACCCCTAAAACACTTAATGGGTAACACAGAAAGATTCCAGAGTATTGAGTGAAAAAAGAAAACATGGAAGTACGTGGTTGGAATCAATGCTGCAGAAGACTCCTCGGTATAGGAGCCCTTTTGACATATTTTTTTAATGAGACCTCCAATATTTGCCACTCCCAGGAAACACAAGAGAGAAAGGAGCACCCAGTCAGCGCATCCCACAGCCACCAACCCCAAGCATTTCAGGCTTTCCCTACAGAAGGTCCCCCACAGATCCCCCACATTCTCTCATATGCCGTGGAGACTTCCACAGTGGGGCAGAGAAGCACCATCCTGAATAGCTTTGCATGCTAGCTCAGTCCAAGTTACATATTTACATATTATTTTACGTTGGTGGAATGAAGGCTTTCCCAATTTTTATGTGGCCATGTTCATAGAGATAATGATGTAGTGAAAGCACTTTCCAAAGGAATTCAACACTGTAAAGTCTCACTAAAACTCTGCTCAGGTCTAACAAATGTCTGTGTTCCATGATACAGAAGGGGATATTCATTAGTGACTGCAGGTGGTCATAAAACAATCTCCTGTGCCCTGGCACACACTATAGGAAAGGCATATATAAGTTCCCAGGAAAGTTTCAGCAAATTAGCTTAATGCAGTGGGATGCTAACAACAATACTGTCAGTCTGAAGTAAAAGGACTGGTGCCAGGTTGTTATCAGTTGTTCCTTCTAAAGACGAAAAGGGTCAAGAAATAGTTTTTCAGCTCAAAGACACAACGGGCCTCCTAAAACATTACTGTATTTAAGGGATTTTCACCCAATAAGTCTCACTATAAACAGTCAACAAATGGTACCACACTGATAACGTGCCAAACATGTTCGGTGCTGCTGATACCTGGAGTTCAACATGTGCAACAAGAAGACTATAGCACCACAGTCTGCTCCATGAATCTATCATATAATGCCTGCAGGATGATGTGGTAGAACCCCGCAGGCCTCCAGATGCCCAGCAATTTAACCACTGCTCCATTTATAAGCAGCTGATAACTTAAAAGACATTGAAGGAAATAGATAATAACAGAAACTTAGAGAAATGCACCTGCAATTCCTTAAGATTTTATTAAAACAGGAATATCCTCAGCCTGACAGCTGTCAACAAGCACCACTCACCCAAGGCATCTTTCATCCGGTGGTATAGAAATCTTCATATAAAGCAGATGCTTATCTAGATGGTCACTTTCTTAAACATATCAGAAAATTACTACTTGCACAATTTCATCCACTGCAAAAAATGGGATCTGTCAAGTGAAGCCAAAGATTCTAAATGACAGTTGAGGCAAAATTCATCTCCAGCACAGTGGGCAGACCATATGCTCCAGAAATTGCAAAATGCCCCAAATAAAAGAGATTTGATGAGTCTTTTCAGAAAGAAATCAGAAGGTTAATGGATTATGAAAACTTGCTTTCAAAATATTAATCAATTCTGTCAGTACAATTCAACCAGTGCCTCATGTTGCACAATATACAAACTAATAACTGCTTCCCCAACAATTAGCCATTAGTGAAGAAACTCATACTATGGCCCAAGTTCTTTCCTAGTAACCACACTGATTCTGACTAATCAGTCTTTATTCTGCCTTTATCAGGTTAGCAAACAGGAGGCACATGAGAAACTGTCCCTTAGGTACACCCTTTCTACCAGGTATTTCTACGTAAAAAAAATCCCAGCAGCATCAGCTCATTTCCTAAATGAAACAATCTTCTTCCATGTGTGGAGTTCCAATCTGCCTCAGGACTTCTGCATGTTTTCCCACCGATGGGAAATGTACCGTGGTTTATGCTCCATTTTTCTAACCATTTCAACACCGCATTAGACCTGTTCTGAATATTCTGATAACCAACTGATTAATAGCTCCCTGAGAATGAAAACGAAGGAAGTTCATTTCCTATGGATTGATGTTTTATGGTTGTCTGAAAGCTACAGCTGAAGCTTTTCCCAGTGGCAGGGCACTCACATGGCTGCTCTCCCACGCAGGCTCTGCAGTGGTCAACCAACACCTCATCTCTTGCTGCAGCTTCTTCCTCTCTGTTCAGGTCACTGCGACAGGTCTCAGCAATTCTCATGAAACTCACAGGGCTTACTTATCTTTAAGACCTCTGTCCTATCTTAAATTTCAGCCAAAGATTCCAAAAACAGAAAGAACCAAAGAAAGGTCACGTTATTCCTCAAAGAGCCAAGTGCAAATGCTGATTTGAGCCCCACGCAATGAATGAAACACCCATCATTACCAGATCTGTGCAGCTGCACCATCAACAGACCCTCTACAGGCCACAAAAGGACATTATTTGTTTTAGAACTAACATGTACAAGTAACATTCTTATTAAAATTATTCGGAATCAGAAAAAAGTACGAAGCTATTTACACTTACACTGAACTTTTTCAGAAACTAGAATACACACCAGCACCCATATCTATCAACACTGGTTTGAAAAAGAAGGAGGAGCACTGTACCAGCAGTGCATCATCAAAAGACATTAATGGCTTCCAGTACACATAAGTAGATAAAGCATTCATCACAAAATATCAGTGAGTCAGTGGATACCTATGTTTTGTATTTATTACAGACTTCCTGGGAAGTCTACAGAAAAGAGAACACCACTATCCCAACATGAAGGAACAACGTTCGTGTGCCAAGACAAACACACACATCAGGTTTACATGCTGTGTGTTCAGTACATACCTCCGTATCATGCCTTAAGATGTCATTCTACACATGCTATGGACAATGGTGACAGTGAAATTTTAAAACACATCACAAATTGTATTAATTCTTAAGCTATCCTATAGAGTAATTTTTAAACATGTATTGGAGAGATTTATATTTTGGACGAAAGATACAAGAAGAAAGGTAAGAAAATAAGAAATAATCACGAATGTCCATGAAAGCAAGCACACAAAGAGAAGGAAACACATGATCAATGCATTTAACATTCAGTATGTGACTGAGAAAGAGAACAATGCCCATCAGGCTCTGCTGGGTGAGCACTGCTGTGCCAGTGGCAGCCCAGAGCTCTGCGGAGGAAGAAAAGGAGTAGGTCCAAAGCCAAGGCTGTGTTTACTGATGTTCTGTCATTTCAGTGTCATCACCATCGTGGAACTAATTCAGCCCTCTCCTGAGTTGAAGTTTTAGCATTGTAATTTCTGGGTGTATTTTTTTGTTTTTTAACCCAAGGGCTTTTCTCCCAGAAAAAGTGCTTATTCCAGAAGATACGGAACCCATGGGATAGCAAGGAGAAGGACAGGCTGCCTACCAATTTCTACCATAATAGCTCATTTTGAAGACAAGTCTTTCTTCCCCCTACAGAAACACCATCTTTTAATGAAATCCATTAGCATTGTTTTTTGTGATCAGATCCCAGTTGTTTGCATGTAATACGCAGTGCAATACAATCAACTAAAATAAGTCCCAGCTGTAGAAACACAATGCTATGCTGTTGCTAATGCGTGTTGTACTGATAATGAATGGTCGTCTATGCTTTAATCTGAATAAAGCTCCCAACTGCTCTGTCTCTTCTTGCCAAAAATTCCCCTTCCTCCTCCAGACTGTGGTTGCATTCCAATTACACTGCTGATTGGAATGAGCCTGCTCTGGGGGCAGGGAGAGGGAGGGACACACCACCAGCACACCCCTCCTGGCTTCCACATTGCTGTCCCTGAGACACAGAAACCACTGGGCTGTTGAACCTGTGGCTGACATTACGCTTCTCCTCAGATTGCATACAACTTCGCAACGTTGTTTTCTTAGAAAAACATCTGAGAGGGGCAAACCATACTGTGCACAGGTTCCAGCAGCATAGCTCAATGCTTAAACATTTCAAACAAATTCCTACTGTTTGCAGCCATTGCTGGCAAGCTGCTGAGCAACTTTTATTTTCCTGCTCTCACTCCCTCCTTGGATCTGCTTTAATTCCCACATGGGAAGATATAAAACAGGAGGTCTTCAATACAAAGAGAGCTGTAAATAATGCCATACAGATTTGTAACTACAGCTATTGAGGTAATTGCTTTCTCAGTTAAGGTTTTAAAATGAAACTGTTTGTCCAACTACTCACATTAAATTTTATTTTACAATTATCTCTGGGGATTCTTTTTAAGTTTCATTTCCTTTCAATTTTCATTTCCTTTGAAAAGTTTTTTGT